ATTTCTGGGCAATCGCGCCGACCACGGCCGAGGCAAAGTCATAGCTCAAGTTGTAGGAGGCTTCGGCATTAAAACGGACGACAGGAAGTTCGGGCCCCTCTGGACACGGCATTAAGCCTCTAACAGCAAAGCTAAGTTCAACTCTGTTCATGGTCCGTGCCACCGGTCTGTGTCCACCCAAGCGCATCCGACTCGCTGATTCATCAGAACCACCGCGACCAAGTCCACCACCAACATCACCGTCAACAATAGCCACGGCCCCGTCGCCCGCCCTGGCGGGCAAAGAGACCGGCTAACCCTTGATGAGTCATTTTCCAGTTCACTTTTTGGAGCACGAGCTCTGAACGGGACCGAATTGAAAACGTTTATTTCGTTGAAGGCTAGTGATCTTTCTCAAACTCCTTTGAACTTTCAATGGGGGCGATTAACAGCCTCCCCCCCCCTCTCAACGGGGGATTCACGATCGATCCGAGCGGATGTGCATGCGGTGGGTTTTCACGTCCGAACCGGTCGATGATGAATACCGTACATGGCGGGGCAATAGGAGTTCTCGGCGCAAGATACAGTTTTGTTGCGGGCGCGTCCCCGATTGTGACCGGACGACCACCAGATTTGACAATAGTCGGTCGCAAATGACAAATCCAGACATGGTGTTCTCGCAGGCGGAAGAGATGCGGTTCGATGCGGCTCGGCGTTCTTTCGGCAATCCCCAGTAATCTGTTGTTATTAACGTTCTGCACGGCCTTCGATACAACAGAGCGTGGGCGCTAAACGTGCTGAAGAGACTGATACGAACCGATGCTGTAATGCAGTCCTCGTCGATCGGAAGTTCAAACTGCTAGTCAGCGGAAAAAACGGGGGTCGAGAATCCTCATTGATGCTCGACAAACGAAGACGGCGTTTCGGGGTTCTTTTTCTCCGCCGAAAATCGAACTTCGGTTTAAGTGCCGCATAAGGTACTTACATCGTTTAAGTTGAGCTTGAGGCATTGTCTCCAGACTGAACGCCTTTTTTTCCTTTTCACGTCCATCGTAAATCGTTCGCTTTTGTGCATTTCATTCTTCTGCTGGAGCTTTGGAATCATTGGAAGTGGTTTCTCGTCGCCTCTCAATTTCGGGCGTGAAACCGAAGAGGAACGCACTGAAGTGTACCGGGAGTACGTGTGGTGGAGAAGTTTTCTTTTAATTTTTGCCCCCCTTTTGGTCTGTCAATAATGAGTTTTGTCGTCGGGTGGAAGGAATGTGTCTGGAATGGGAGGAGGGGGCCTTATTACGGTCAGCATACCCGCTTATTACGGTCATTGTTGGGGACCGCGCTTTAGACGCGTTCGCGCGCGATTCCATTCAAGCCCGCCGTGGTTGTCCGCGGTGCTCGACCGTAATCGCAACGTTCTTCTCTTTGAACCACCCGAATCGCGAGGAATTGTCACCCCGGCCAGTGTTCGACCAGCGGTGCGGAAGAATAGTGAAGCACCGAATTTATCTGATATCCGGCGCAAACTCGCCAGAATGCAAGTGCTATGAGGGTTCGAGAGGTCTGCCTCGCTGCGGAGTCCGAGATCTCGAGTGCAAGTAGGATTGATCATGATGAATACGGGATCGGGGGGCAGACCTATGGCGCGGATAGCCGACGAGAGAAGCTCCAGAGATGCCGAATTCGTGATTCCTCCAGACTCTTTCCCACTTCGTTTTACTCGTTTATCGTTCTCACACATAGATCCTGACCGGATTCGCATAGTCTCGGACGAGACTGCTGGATTATCAGGATTCTTTCACGCGGAGGACTCGAGGTGACGAACTCTATGCCGACGCAGGGGATGATCACGGTGGAAGAAGCGGTTCCTTGTCAGAGGGCCGCGAATCGAAGAGTTCGTCAAGCACTTCCGTCTCCCCATACAAAGATCCACGAGTGGATTGCTATTCCAAGGGCCCCGTACCAGCCTCCACGGGCAATCACTCAGGCCCTGGTCGCGCGGTCTGTTGACGGAAAAACGAGCAAAAAAAACGACCACCAGCCGAGAGCCCCAGAGACAAAAGGCCGGCTGTGAGTGTCACTGGAACTTCCCGTTGGGTTGGGCCCGTGGATCAGTCTGACCCGAAAATACGCCCCTCGAGAACGAAGTATGCTAGATCGCCGCCCGAAACGCTCCGATGCGCGGAACAAGATTGACTCGTCGCTGCCACGGCGAACTAACTAAACAATGTGAATCTGACTATGTATAAAACCGATCTCTTTTAAGTATTCCCTCGATGCAGAAATTACTCAACGGTCAGGACTTCTCTTCGACAGCAGCATCGAGGGTCGTGGCCAGCGCAAAGGTCAGCTGAGGGCGAAATTAAAGTTTGACCTAGTGAAACAATGCCCACGAAGGATGATATTCCCACGATTACTGAAACCTCCGTGCTGATTTGACATTAATGGACGGGACGTCGGAACTGTCAATGATCCCTCCACTGACTTGCTGATTTTCCAATAGATTTCAAAGGTATTCGTCGATAGACCGTTGGAACGATGGGTTCCCCGAGGTCTGCGAGCTCCGAATCTCAATCCTTCTTTTCTCTAGCTGCAAATAGATCTGAGGTCTCGAATGATGCGCTCTAATCGGGGAGGTTGTTATGAACCTCCCCATCAATCAGAGAAGGTAGGGCGACTTTTCGAAGAGCCACAAAGGAGGATGCCGTTCTCGGGAAGTTGCGTGAAGAGTCCACATTATAGAATGTTGGTCAAGAGTTTTCACAGTCATATCAAGATGATTTCTTAAAACGACCATAAAATCTATTTATTCCCCGCTACTGCCGCCTCGGTAGAGTCCATTGTTGCAGTATTTGTTTGATTTCTCTTCATGCAAGTGGGTGACTGAAGAAAACAATGCTCTTCAATATTCGTTCTGCTTTACGCTCGACTGAAGGTTCTGGAGGTAGATAAACAATAAGCATGTCGGTTGCAGAACCGCATGTCGAACTTACCGACTCATGCATGAACTCGCCTGATTTCTGTCGACGCGAATTCATTGTATCTCGACGCGGAAATTCGATAAGACCAGGCGCTTCCCTGCATGGTCCGTACCGAAGAAGGTCGGAGGCCTAATTTCGGCGGAACTGAAAGCTCAAGACGTGCTGGCGGCCCTCAAAGAGGGAATTTTCCCGAGCGATTTCCGCTGGCAGGATCGATCCGAAACATGTCCCGGAATCTCTCCGTGGCGAGTCTGGGATGAGCACACCATATGACGAGATGACGTTCGACGAGCTCGATCGGAACACCTTGAGGCGTTTCTTCTCTACCAGAAACACCGGAGTCGATCCGAACGCTCGTTGTTCTGCTCGTCCCCTACTCTTTCGTTACCAGTAGCGCGCATCTAGACGAGGGATCGCCGGCATCGCGAGTAACAGTTTCTAACGGTCATCTTAAGCTAAGTTGGACGGAGCCACAAGTAGCGTGTTGCGTGACTCGAACAACTCAAGTGGCCGTTCGGCCGGCTGCTGGCTCGTTCATTCGTTCGTCCATCCATCCATCCGCCGGTTCTCCCAGTCAGCACAGCAGCCAACCAAGCCTTTTCGGCTCCTATATGGTTGCCCGACTAAGTAATAATATTTCTGGAAAGTAGAACAGAGAAAACTGAGAAGGTATTTGTCAGAATGAGGTTCTTTCTATGAGGGTGTCGCTGGATGGCTTGCGAACTGGCTTGCGCGTCGAGCCGACGGAATGCATCCATTTCAGAAACGATGACATTTCTCGCGCCGAAGTGTCCATTCCAGCCCACCTGCCCATGTGGAATGAGTAATGTGAGGCTCGTCGTAGCCTGATTTGTGTTCTCCATGAAGACTACAAAAATGTTCACCTGGTGTAGTCGCGCGAATTTTCTCGCGCGTATTACTACGGAGAGAACTGTGGATCGAATGATCTGTGATCAAGGTGGTCGAGTCAAACTCTACCTCAAAGCTGGATAGCAAAGAAAAATGTTGTTTTGCTCGTTTTTTGCAAGGGGAAAGCTTGGCCATGAGCGGATGCGTTCCGCTTCTCCTGGAGTACGTCCGGCGCCGGGAGACGGGTCGAGTTGAGAGCCTTGACCTCGAGGCGGAAGTTCCTGCGTCGGAATCGCGAATACCGTTGGATGGATCGTCATCAGTAGATTGTGCATAGCTCAGGGTTCATTGCAGCCGGGGGACGGCGGGGGAATAAATCAGAAAATGTAGGAAGGGTAAAAAAGGGAAAATCACTCTGGTCCTCCAACAGAAGAGTGAGTCGCGGGTGACGACAAATTATTGGAGTTTTTTCCTTCGCGTCGGCGCCGCGCGGCGTCGTCTAGAAAGCGGAACGCTCGCTCGTTCGCTTATTCGTTGAGTCGCGCGAGCTCGATGGACGGAATGGAGTTGGTCGCAGCGTCCCAACGGCGCAGCATGAGTCGGTGACAAAGGTGACATCGACCCCAGTCCATAATGGTCGAGCTATGTCCTACCGTCCACGGTAATTGACTCGGCTTACGCCGAATAGATTTCACAGAGTTCGGAAGGGACCCCGGATTCGAATCGGGCTTACAAACTACCCACAATCATTTTTGACGACTCGCTGACTGCTCCGGTGCGCAACGGATAGAATTTCTTCGGGTGGGAGCGCGACGGTGGCGGAGGTTTCCACAAGCATAGTCCAGAGTACTCATAGTAGCATAATCTAGCCCCTACCACCGTGGAATCCGATGTCCGTGATCTTCCCATAGGAACGGTCGTCTTCCCGGGATCTCAGAACTTGGTAGGAACCTCCGGAGCCAATCAAGGCCACCATACAATATATTGAATAAGTGAAACTCCACCGCATACATCCGAGAGCAGAACAGGACACAAGGCGATATCCGGAGTCATGACTTGGGCCGAAGAAGGGGGGGGCTAACCAACCATTATTATTCCATTCCTGGCGGCCTAATCAAAATTATTCACGGGATATTCTCTCTTTCAGATGTTGCCTCGGTGACTCCGTGAGGATCGAGGTGATGAGGTATCGAAGCCATGGTGCTATTAATCCGCCTCACGCTGCTGCTCATCGCAGCGGCGAGCGCACAGGGTGAGTCTCCATCTGGAAACGGATTTCGAGAATTCTTCTCGGTATTCTGGTCCTCAATCACGCTATACTTATCTTTAACCCTATGATATAGGGTTAATGCAACAATCAACGATTCGAGTGCGTCATCCAGATAATCGGAAGAGAATTCAGGCTGTCCATGACTGGTCTCATCCGACCCCAAGCGAACGCGGGTTAATTCAATGGACTGTTCCATTTCGATCTTTGCAAAGCAAAGCATCGACACCTCCGTCGATCGTGGAGACGAGCTCCTCATTGGCTGAATTTGGCTGATTTCGTGCGCCCTGAAGACTACCGATGGGCACTTCCGCAAGGAACGCTCCACTATGACTAGGAAGGACCACTTGGTCGGACGAAGAAAAAACATTCACGCCGAGCGATTGACGGGTTTTGAAACACGGGTCAAAATAACTTATTCCCAAAGGGTAGAACCCTTGTTTTTAGAGTCGGACGAGCGGCCAATTTACTCTTCGTCATGATATGAAACCTTCCGTCTTTGTGCAGCGATTGCACTGCCGATGTGACTTGTAGCGTTTTGACCTTTAGACACTTGGCGAGGGATCCTGGATGTCTGAGAATCTGTTGTTTCGAATAATTGATGCTGATTCGTGTGGTACTTGTGTAAGCCGCTTTTGTGGAGCTTGTGTCCTGACGGTATGCAGAGCCAGGGCTTCCGTGGGGTGGAGACTTCGAGCGGGCGTGATTCGAGTGTAGACTGAGTACGATCGTTCCAAGCGAACAAAATCGCTAGACGAATCCATACGCGACAAAGATGACTGGGAATCTGAGACTGTCGGTCAGCGAAGCCCGCCGTGCTTTCCGGCCGAAGCAATGCGAAAGAATGGAATTCGAACAAAGACTTCACGAATTTCCAAATTCCGTCGATTTCGGTCCCTCTTTTAGAAAAAAACAGGAAAATTTCTGCTCTTACATGTGTACGTATGCAGGCTCTGTGAACCGTGGGAAAGCCTTGATGGGATTTCCCGTTACGTCCAGCTAAGTATCCGAGCGACGTTTTCGGCAAAAAAAATCATCGGGAGATTCTGTGAAAAAGTGTGGATGTGGTATTGTCATCGAATGACGGCAACGGACCATGCCGAAAAACTGACTGGAGTAAGAAGATTGAAAATCGCGAACATTACGATGTTCGTGATGAGCCACAACGACTGGATACGAATCATGATCTTCCGTTTTCGGATAAAGCAAAAAACCTGGGAAAGAAAAAACGACGCGACAACTCCGACTAAGGAGAACGAGTTTCTCCACTCGATTGCAATTTTATAACGGCACGGTTATTTTTCTTTCGCGGTATCGGTTCCTGTCGTCCACGATTTCGTTCGTCATCCCTCCGTCCATTCGTTCGCCGGATCGATCTTATCGAATATGATTCCATGGAAAGCAATTGTTTCGCCCGGGACAGCGACGTGCGGATGAAATTACGATGACACTCGGACAAAACTCGGCCAGCGACAACGATAGTGGAAGCGGTCGAGACAAGCGCGACAAACTTGAGCAACGACAGATAGGCAGGCTCACACCCCGTAAAAAAAGCCATGAAGTGGAATGAGACGCCAAACCTCGAGAAAAAAATCAAGAAAACGTGCAGACAGCTCGGCTAGGTGGCCGACTCGAGTTATTGGAGCGAGCCACAGAGACATGCGTCCGTCCATGTGTCCCTACGAGTCCACGGCGTTCTATCTTTTGGAATCTATCTTCCGTAGGCTCGGTCGCTCGATCGGGCTGTCCACTGAAGAGCGCGCATCTACAAATCGATGCCTTTCGTCACCTGTCGAGCATCGGAAGAAACTAGGCGGCAGCTCCACAGAATCATGACCGAGCCCAGTCAACTACTAGAACAACAGACCAGCGAGAAAACACCAGAATAGAAAAAATATCCAGAACACTTCGAGTCGGATTCGCATCTGCGACTTTATATTGACTGTTGCTCGCTCCTGTCATGACGAGGACCACCACCACCTCTACCGGGTCCGCAATCCGAACCATCCGAAGTGGCGTAAACTTGGTCTGGTTAGAAGACGCGTCTGCAATGTCCGATGATAGCCGTGTTTGAGCATTCTCTTCTGATCGATGGATCCACCCGCCGCTGCCTCGCCTGACAGCCCCAAAGTCTTCGTGGAGGCTAGCGCTCGAGTATCGCGAGTCAATCTTTCGGCAGCCACGAATTTTTGCTTGAAATCGCCGCCACGTTGCACGGAAGATCAGGGTGTGACGATTCTTAGTTTTGGTTTCATTATCATCTGCCGCCACACTTCGGGAACGCTCGCAGACTCCGAGACGCGATGTGAAAGCTTTGACTATTTAGCTATGAGAATTTACTCCCGAACTATTGATCGGCAATATTTTTTCCTCAGAATACTCATATCGCTACTCTTTTATTTGCAGCATTCAAAAACAACCTACCCAAGTTTGCCGTGGGAGGGCTGAGTGAACTTGTCGTCACGGTCAAGGAAGGTCCGGAGAGTTTAGGTGAATATAATCCCGGAGTCCAGAGAACGAGAGGAAGAAGAGCAAGCGAGGTTTCTCAGAATCGGAGATCGACTTCGCGACGCAATTATAATTCGGAGTATATTTGAGTCGAATGAGTGGTGTGTTTGACTGCATGTTTCATAGGGTGCATTGACGAATCGTGTGTTTTTTCTCGCCAGGCAAACCCCTATATCTGCTGAGAGGTGAGGATGCGGATGGGGATACCCTCACATTCGGAGCGCTCGGGCCTGACGGGAAGGAATTATTGCGATTCGAACGCAAATCGAAAACGGAGGCCGAGGTCTTCCTCAACAAGGAGCTCGACAGAGAGGTCAGTAGCAATGTGCCGTTGGAGAACAAGCTCCATTTCAGTCTTCCGACACGCCACAGTCGCGTATGTGTACATGGGGCAGCCGGGATGAACCCGCGGTCCAGGCTGCCCCGGGGCAGCTCTGCTCACCGCCGTTCACACGTGCTAAACAAGCACTTGCCAACGTTACTCCGTTGACGCGGTCAAGCAATTATCAAGAGGGCAATGTCGGGGGCTCCGAATGGCAGTGATGATTACTGCCGCAACAAGCGCAAGGATCCGCCGTAATCTTTTGAATTGGAGCCGACCGACGTCGAATTCCACGTTCCAGTGATGATCCTGAGTTGTTCTCAATGCGCGGATCACAAAGAGTTCGCTTCTCTTCAATTTTTTGCGATTTCATGGAGCCGACGGTCTATCGGACCGTACGTTGTTCTGTCCGTTTGTCGTTCTTTCGTCCGGTTGGATCTGCGTTGACTTCACATCGGTCCCGTCTCTCCCGATAGAGCGGTCCGTCAGTGGACGTCTTTGTTGCGTCCAGTGTTCTCGACTTGGCTGCTGCCGCGTACGAAATAATGTCCCGATGCAGCGCATCCCTTTGTCATAATTGAACAAGATGCGCATTTAGCAGTGAATTCCACGTCGACCAATCCTGTCCGCGGGGTTCAGAGGTCATCTTTTTGATTCGGGAATAAGCATGGCGGAGTGACCGCGAGCCGTTAAGCGCAAGGTTCACCCCCGCCGTCGCTACTTCTGTGCGGGGTAATCCCCTTCTATCAGGTCGGAGCTAGCGATGGCGGAATGCCATGGTCAGAAAGGCGTTCACCCACCCAATTAGAATGCAAATCGTTCCTCAAACAAATCATGGAAGTTCGCCGCTGACCGACGCGACGGCGGAATTTCACATGCCCAGAATCTCGAACGCGATGGGATCATCGTTCCCTCCACCAGGGATATTTTTTTCCACTCATTTGCGAATTTTCTATCTCTGAGACCTGCAATCTCAAAGACACTCCGGTGCGATCAGACCTTTTCCGTGAACTCGTGACAGTAAGGGAAAAGCACTCCCGATTCCCTGAAGAGTGATCATACTGACACTCCGGCGACCGATATTCTAGGAATGAGCAATGACTGATTTGAAGATTGAGACGAATACCTTCCATTGAGAACGTTCACGTAGGTACGTGATTGAGTACTTTGAGCGCGAAAATTAACGACATCCTCTTCTTCCCTTCAGCTTCGCGACTCGTATACCATCGTGTTGACACTCACCGATGGGAAGCTAGGCGACGGCCAATTCGTAAGTGCTCCAGAATGTTCTTAGGTAGCTCCTTTCTTCTCGGGTTTGTCGTTTAATGGACCCAATTTGGAGCTGGCTGCTTGCGTGTGAGAGCGAGTGAACAAACCTGCGAGTGTGCATGTGGATCTGGCCGCGCCGGCCAGACAATTGGGGAAAAGGGGCAGTCGGCGGAACTTTGGCATCTGGAACTATTGTGAAGCACTTGCCTTAGTTCAGAGGCGGACACTGTCGAATTCTGACAATTGAGTTGAATGGAGCCCGAATGGACTAGCGGGCCGACAGAAAAAAACCGACCTCCGAGGTCCAGAAGGGCGTCGCTCGCTCTTTTGCTCAAGACTCGAAGTACCATCAAGCGTACCTGGTCGGAGCGGCGAAGCGAACACGCCGACGCTCGGGACCTCGCAGCTCTCGGCAATTGTTGCGAATTCGTAATGAGATCACTCGGGCACTCATTTTCTTCTCTGGCGAGTCGTGAACACCAGCTTCCCGATTTCTGTCGTGATCCTCGTCTTCGCTCCTCCCGATTGAGCCGATCCCCCTCGGGACTCGCTGCGTCTGTGATGTTTGAAGCACGGCTGCTTTTCCGGAGACCCGTCACGGCGAGAAGCTCGTAGGGGTGAGGTGAGGTATTTCCCGAGATTCGGTACCGGAGTCGGCGAGGAAGAAATTTTTCATGGCTTCCCTCCAATCGAGTACTTCTTCGTCGTCCGCGGGCGATCTCAGGCCTGAGATCCGATACGCGGTATTTTCGCGTTTGTTCACGCCCTGGATTATAGGAAATCGTGCGGGGGGACCGGGTTCCGGCCGCATCCATTGAGAGGCACCAGGTCCTTATCGTTCATAGTTTCCATTCCATATTTTAGATACACCAAACGCTGGTGATCATCGTGGAAGACATCAACGACAACGAGCCCGTCTTCAAAGCTTACAAGACATCGCACATCCTGCCCGAGGGCGCTCGACCTCAGCTGGTCGATACTATAGAAGCGACAGACAGGGATCAGGGACCTTTCGGACAAGTAGTCTACCAGTTCCAGGTATGTGCTTCTAACGCCATCGCGGCTATTATTCAATTCTTTTGACTTCATTGACAGGCTCCGTCATTGTCGGCGGGGGGATCGGAACGCCGACGCGCGAAAATTCGTTAATAGCTGGGTGGGCCGAGAGTGCTCCGACTGACTGGGATATCGCTCATGCCCTTCCCATTGCAGAACACAGACGCCGAAACATTGTCCGTGTTCAAACTCCAACAGCAAGGTAGCCAGGCACGGATATCTCTGGTCGGCGCACTCGACTACGAAAGGAAATTCGTCTATGAGCTGCGAGTTCTCGCTATCGTAAGTCGCGACATCCGTAGATACAATGCTCTCATCTGCATATGAAACGAGGGAAATTCCCACCGATCTCTACAACGGATTTTTGAGTTTCATGTTTATTAGAATCTTAGTAGAATTGTTTAGTAGAACTGTTAGATTTCACAGTTCGACAGGAGAGATTCATGTTTTTTTTCGTATTCCAGGATCGAGCGCGGCAGGGTCCGCGACACACCGCTACCGCCGTCGTCATCATCAAAGTCGAGGACTTGGAAGATCAGCCTCCGGTTTTCACCCAAGTCCCTGCAATAACCCGGGTCGCCGAGGACGTCCCTGTTGGGTCATCGGTGTTAACAGTCAAAGCACAAGACGGCGACCGAGGGATTAACAATGCGATCAAATATAGAATCAAATCGGGAAACCTCCAGGGACTTTTCTCGATCAACGATGACACCGGAGTGGTTCGGACCAGCGGGAAATTGGACCGTGAATCGACAGAATACCGGAACGGGGCTTTCATTCTTCAAATCGAGGCTTCAGAAGTTGGATCGGCAATTGCAGACTCTGTCGCTCGTACCGAAGTCACGATCGTGATCACGGATGTCAACGACGAAACGCCAACGTTCCGGAGTCCTTTGTACTTCGCCGAAATCATTGAAAACGCTCAAATTAACGCGCCAATAACGTTCCTGGGCAACGCCACACCCGAGGTCTTCGACCATGACCAGGGAACGAACGGAACTTTCAGTTTGTTTCTGGACGATCCCAAAGGAACGTTTGAAGTGTTTCCGGCAGAAGTTGTCAACGAAGCGTCGTTCGTCATCAGGGTTCGGAGGCCGCAGTTGATCGATTTCGAAGACACCAAGGTCATAAAATTCAATGTCGTCGCAAAAGAAGTCAGCGGACTCAACCCCAAGACCTCATCCGCGGAAATAACGGTTTACGTCAGAGACGCGAACGACAATTTTCCACAATTCATGGAAGAGACATACCGAGCCCGCGTCCGAGAGGACGCTCAGGTCGGAACGGTCATTGCCAAGGTTCAAGCCGTCGATCGGGACTCGGAACTTTTCGGAACGGAAGGAATCCGCTACACGAGCATACGAGGACCGCTGGCCGACAAGTAAGTTCAGCTGAGACGATTCGATGGGTTGCCTCGCGCATGAAACTACGCAAGTTCGCGATCATCGACTTCTCAGGATATTCTTCCGAGACGCCTATGAGTTTTTCTCCTCCGAAGGTTACGTCTAGAACCCATTTCCGGGGAAGTAGTCGTGGCCTCGAACAGCCATGGATTCGATCGGGAAACGTTGTCGTCATTCTCTGTGACCATCGAAGCCCGAGACGAACTCGGCAAAGGAAGTCGGAACACCGTTCAATTGGAAGTAACGGTCGAGGACGTTAACGATGTAGCACCACTGTTCGACCTCCCGATTTATGAGGCGCGACTGCGGGAGAACGATCCGCGTAAGGAATCATCTTTGTCAAATTTCTCGATCAGCCACAGGCTAGATACACGAATGTTCCGGAACTGTGCCTCTCGAGCGAGCGCATGAGATAGAACTTTGATAAAATTGTAAACTTCACTTCCACAGAGTTCAACAACCCATTGACAGTTCATGCCACGGACGGGGATCAACCGAATACGCCCAACTCCGCTGTTCGATATGTTCTCATGGATCACACTAGGAACTTCACGATCAACCAAAGCACGGGCGAAATCAAACCGAAAAATACGATCAACTTCGAAGCCATACCCCAACCGAAAGGCGACATTCGCGTCATCGTGCTCACTGTGATGGCCGTAGACGCGGGGCAGCCCCCGCTGTCCACGAACACAACGGTGAAAGTTTTTGTGCAGGACGCGAACGACAACGCCCCAATCTTCAAACAGAATTTCTATCGCCAAGCAATCCCTGAGGACATCCGAGAGGGTAGCAGTATAATCCGCGTCGAAGCCACCGATGCCGACGACTCTCCGGCGTTTTCGAAAATTGCCTACAGAATCGAAACCGGAGCTCAGGACAAATTTGTCATCGACGCAACATCTGGTATAATTTCGGTTGCGCCCGGAGCTTATCTGGACCCCGACCGAACTTATCCAAAATCGAAGTTGCACAGCCTCACGATCGTAGCCTTAGACGGAGGACTCGGCGATCAGCAAATGTGGGCGGCTTGTCAAGTGAACATCAGCATCGTAGACGTCAACAACAAACCGCCTACCCTGCGACCCCCGGGGATCGTGCACATCATGGAGAACACACCGTCAGGAACCGAGGTCGGTCAATTAGTGGCAACGGATCCGGACGACAATCCAGACCTCAGTTATTCCTTGTGTAGCGGCGAAGAAGCTCTAGCCAGCGAAGCCAAAAACGAGGAGGGGACCGTCGTGCCATTCAATGGCACGGACACTTTCCGAGTTGATCTGAAAAGCGGGAAAATCTTCTTGAGACAGAGCCTTGATCGCGAGACGGTCGAAACAATCAAGATGTGCGTGCAAGTCATAGACGAGGCGGGAGTCACCAAAGATCAATTGAGCCAAGCTATTCTCAACGTGAAGGTTGGCGATGTGAACGATAACGCTCCGGTGTTCAGGAAACCCTTCTATAGAGAAGCGGTGACCGAAAACTCGAAAATCGGATCGCCTGTCGTGACTGCACGAGCCATGGACGTAGACAGGAACCGGACGATCACGTACAGTCTCGAGGGTCCATCGGATCTCCTCAGGCTCATCAGTATCGACAGGAAGACTGGGGAAGTCCTCGTGAGCGATAAGATCGACCGAGAAACAACCTCTTGGATCAATGTCACCCTCAAAGCCACGGATTCTGGATTCCCGCCACTGACCGGCATGACGTCGTTGAGCATTCAGGTTTGTCTCCCGAGTCGCATTCCCGCTCGTCCGCATCCTCTGATATAGCCCCTCGGGCTGAATTTTCTGATTTCCCCACGATCTTAGAAAATGATTCCCCCCAGGTCTTGGATGAAAACGACAACAATCCAGTGTTCGCGGAGGGTTCGACAGAGTTTCACATATCAGAGGACAGTCCCATCGCGACAGTTGTCGCCCAATTGACAGCCACTGACGCAGATGCGGGGGAACACGGACGGATCACTTATGCTTTGGACCCATCTGGAACCCATGGGAAATTCAAAATCGACAAAGACACAGTGAGTTTTCTCCTTCCGTTAATTTCGACCGAAGCCTTGCCTCTCTCTTCTAAAGTTCAATCATGGGAATTGCCAACCGATGCTGCGCACAGTCTCGCACATCTAGCTTCTCGATTCTCCAGTGCAAGGTTCTGAACCGCTTGATTCCCAATCATTTCCAGGGTGTCATCACGGTCGCCGCCGGTCTCGATCGGGAAGAAATCTCTCAATTTACCCTCATCGTCCAAGCATGGGACAACTACGAAGCCGGTGTGGGAACCGACCAGAGCCGCAGATCGTTCAAGCAGGTCAGTGAAAATAGATTCTAGGAGAACAGGACCCCTGGAGCCCTAAACGTTTCGCGCAGTATTTCCCCAAGCGGATTGCAGAATGCAATTCTGTCATCCTTACAAACGCTCTCCGACTCCCAGATAACCATCCACCTCAGTGACGTCAATGACGAGAAGCCAGTGTTCGTGAGACAACCGTCGGGAGAATGCGCCTCAGTGAGCGAATTCTTGAATCCCGGAGAAACAGTTTTGACAATAAGCGCCACCGACAAAGACGAGCCCGGCAGTCTCAACTCTCGGCTCGTATTCTCAATGGATATCGATCAGCCGGAAAACGGTGGGTCCAGTGATTTCGGGCAATTAATCCCGTTCTTTTCATTCGTTCTGCTGGGAACAGTCTGTATCGGAGGAGATGGGCAGGCAGCGAGCGACCTCATGGACCATATGACCGTTTTCAGATATATTCGAGGTCGAAACCCTTGCCGACAACCAGGCTCGACTCTTCACGAAAGTTCCTATTAGAGGCAAAGTTGGCAACTATTCACTAACATTACGTGCACGAGATCAAGGATTTCCAATTCAAAACGCCATGGAGAAGTTTAATGTATGCGTATTCGACGTGAACGATCACGCTCCCGTGTTCATCAAGCCTCCCCAGAACTACACCATCCGTATCCCAGAGGTGTGTCGACGTTCGATACCAGGCTGTCCTCTTTCTTCTATCGAAAGATTCCATTAGTAGGTCGAAAAGGTGTTTCCTCTTCCCGCTATTCACCGAAACGTATCCGCTTTCTCCACAGAATGCAACCATCGGCACCGTAGTGGTAGAAGCTCTAGCCGACGACGAGGACCACGGTGCGAACGCAGCCGTTAAATATCGGCTCAAGACATTGGCCAATAATCACTGGAGAACGTTCAACATCGACGAGAACACTGGCGTCATAACCCTCCGTGCTGCACTCGATCGCGAGACTCAAAAAGTTTACGAATTACGAGTCGAGGCCAGCGACCAGGGGTCGCCAACGCAGCTAACCAGCGACTTGGATCTCACAATTTATGTCACTGACGTGAATGACTACGCGCCAGAATTCACTCAGGACGTGTTCCAGCTGACGTTTACTGAAAATATGACGCCCGGTCAAGAGATGTATAAACTGCTCGCGACGGTGGACCGAGACGATGATTTCGGTCAGAACAAGCCGATACCGTGCTACTACATAGTGGGTAGGTCATTTTTCAAGCTATTTCCTCCGCTCGAGCTCCTCAGCCAAGAGTTCCGACCATAGTTCTACGATATCGACCCCAAACGGCTCCTGTCTCCTCTCAGGCGGCAACGACGACAATCGTTTCTCATTGGATATATTCACCCATCAACTCGTTACAACTGAGGTTCTTGATCGAGAAGAAAAGTCCCACTACACGCTGATCGTGCAAGCCTCGGACGACTGTTTCCATCAACCGAAGAGCGTCCTGAACTTCGACTCGAAAGACAACTCGCTGCTGCAAGTCGACATCAAAGTTCTCGACGTTAACGATAATCCCCCGCGATTCGTTAGCCGGGTATTCACAGGTGGAGTCACCACGGAAGCTAATTTCGGAACTACATTCATGAAAGTTCAGGTGAGCAGAGGTTCTCTCATCGATTGATCTAGCTTACCCGTCAACTATGAGCATCGATTGCTCCTATTCCCTATGTGCTCCGTTCCGCCGGCTCTTTGTTGAGTGATTTCTCCAAATTTCCATTTTCAGGCTGTCGACATCGATCAAGGCGAAAACAGTAAGGTGACCTATTACATCGACGGCGAAGTCGTGCGGACACTCACGGAGGGTTTGGACCCAATTCAAGGCTCACCATTCCTCCTGGATCGCCGGACTGGTGATATCGCCCTGAACTTCTACCCCCAGCGAGGAATGAAAGGATACTTCGACTTCAAAGTCACCGCTAATGATTCCGAGGGCCTATCGGACACAGCCAACGTTTTCGTGAGTTTGCAGATCACATTCATTCCTTTATTATTCAGCGTGCGTGCGATTCGACTATTTCCCGTAGGAAGATGATTCTGCGGTACGCCGTCGGATGATCTCACCTCATCTCCGTCGTCCCACAGATATACCTGCTAAGAGAAGATCAACGCGTTCGGTTTGTGCTCCGGTTGACTCCGGATGAGTTCAAGGAGAAGGAGCGGGAGTTCCGAATGGTCATGGCGAACATCACCGGAGCAATCGTCAATATCGACGATATCAAACTACACGAGAACAATGACGGAACCGTGGATCGGACGAAGTAAATGCTTTAAGGATTAAGATTATTAGAGAGTATTGAGCGAGATAAATTCCCCTCGAGAAGAGTCCGTGCAAAATATTATGAAATAAGAATCGATTGATAAAAATAGGTAATAATATAAACTGAGTCTGGACTGGTTGTTAAGGATTACGATGTCATGGATCACTCATGGATGACTTTTCCAGGAGCGACATCTATCTTCATTTTGTGAACCGCGAGGACAACACAATCATGGAAGTGATGACTGCCATCAGCCTCATCGATCAGAACTCTTTCTTCCTCGACAAGCTCTTCAAAGATTTCAACGTGCTTCATAGCGAGGTTAGTTCCGAACTCCTTCAAGTCGCAGCTGGTCCCCAAGGCGGAAACGTTTCTTCTCCGTCGTACTTCCGAGCTTATAGTATGCTCAACGCTAAAAACTCACCTATTTCCCTTTCGCAGCCGGCAGAGGCATCGATCGTCCGCATCGAGGAAGACGACCCTCTCAAAACGTGGCTGGTCGGTCTCGTCGTATTCCTCGTAGTCATGCTGATACTGGTCCTGTCGCTGTGCGTGGCTCAGAAAAAACGCTACCAACGTCAACTGAAGGCAGCGACGGTATCGGCCTTCGGTTCCAGCAACAACAGCATGGCCCACCGGCGGCACGATTTGCCCAACACGAACCAGCACTCGGTCGAGGGCAGCAATCCAATCTGGATGCATTCGTACGACAACGAATGGTTCAACAAAGAAGACGAGGAGTTACGGCACAGCGACTCGAACTCGCTCGACGAGAACGCCGTAGCCGACAACACGGACCAGGGTTCCGGGTCCGGAAGCGACGGCTACTCTACGTCGAATCTCATGAACGACCGCTACGTCATCAGCCCGCAGAGCCGGAGTCAAGCTCGCACGCTACAGAAAACCCAACAGCACAAAGTACCGGCCCCGAAGCCTCCGCCGCCGCCGCCTCAGCGTCATCACAATAGGAACAATTTCAATACCGTCCTCGATGTCGGAGTTGACTACAGCCACATCTTCAACGCCAAAATGGGAACGCCGAACCGTTTCGGGAAGCTCGAAGTGTCCGAACTCTGACATCGAATGCGATTCTCGCGTCCGATACCTCGGGTGACTCCACTGATCGACGGAGGACACCATCCGCCAGTGGTCGGGAGGGGTCCAAATCTAGTGCCAAGCATCGCTCTGAGCCGGAGTCGTACAGAGCAGAAGCCGCAGGGACAGCAGCAACGGAACTGATCCGGAACGAGCGGGGAAGATCGGGAGTCGAGAGAGAGCCTTGAGGGAAGTGGGAAACAATGTGTACACAATAAGTTTATTTAATTTGCTGAACGCTTTCGCTCCCCTCGTGCTCCGTGAGCGAGGAGCCAGGAGTGGGCTTAGCCGCGAGCTAAACATTGCCATGATGTAAATAGGTAGCGAATCGAATTTGAAATCCGAACCCTTCCGTTTTCTCCTCCGTCGTAAGCCCTATCTATCCTGTTATTGGTTCGAGTTCGCTCTCGTCTAGTCAGACATCGACTGCGGAAAGCGAGCTCGACTGCAAAACAGCTGAAGCCAAAGCCATCGCAGAATTATTTTTCGCTATTTCAAGAGCACTCCGCCTGGATGCGCATTGAATCCTCGAATGCAAATAGAGCTGTACAACAGATCTACTCTTGTTACGAAATGTACATAATAAACTTGTTTACGATGAAGCATGAGTATCGAAGTTTCCCTTCTGGATATTCGCCGCCACGGTATCGCAACACTCACGACCTCGGGACGTATTCCGATGGTTCTGAATGCGAAGCCGAAGGACGCTCACAGGAAGAGCCGGAAAAATAGCTGGGCACAGCCAGGAGGCTGCCGAGCCATGTGATCGACTTAGGGCAATCCTATGCTCATTCCGTGTGAGATCCGGCGGACATTCCTGCTAGGAAAAAGACGTCTCTCCCCACGACTAGCTCGTCATAAGGTCCGAGCTCTTCACGAGCATCAGATGAATCAAGCATCGAGCTCATGGATTCTCGGGCGGATGCAAGACGGCTTTGCGTGAAGCGTACCGACTAGCCGGATCGACGCCTGGAATGACGAGGAGAAATAATGCTGTCTTGAGCTAATAGCACCTCCGACGATCCCGCGTTCCCAGAAAAACTCACTCAGAACCCCGCGCTCCCGCTCCTAATTCCTAGACGCGGATACGCGACTCTCCGAACCGAATGCTTGAATTGTGTGCTCCTCGCGCACTTGCTTTTAGTGACAAAGGCCGGACGCGGGCGATCGTAGCTTCCAGACCGGATGATGCCAGTCTCCAGGCTTGGAGAGTAAAAACCGCTAGGCTCCGACTCCAATTGAATGGGATTTTCGTCAGAGGATAACTCTGTCGCTGGCTGTTCAAGCATAAACCGTTGTCCAATCCGTGTGGGGGCCGTGAATATTCCCAGAGGGGAAAGAAGGAACTCGATAAGGCTCGGACTCCATGGACGGAGATCGTGGGCGAGGGACTCGAGCCGTACGCCCCGCTCTCAAAGTTTATGAATGGAGGCAGCTGAAAAATCACTATACGACCCTCAGAGCGTCATCGGGACCGACCCTCGCCGGCAGTTTCTCTTTCTCCCTCTCGTCATGCGTCAGCGCGTGAAGCAGATGTGAGCCTCACTTCACGGCACTTCACAAACGGGGACTGATACGGCCACAGTGACCACCTGGTTCCGATACACCGAGTGCTCCATCTGAACGCGCACCCGCCGTAGGGTAGCGCAAAGAGTGAAGTTGACCAAGAACTACTTTGTGCTCTGTGGATACGAAGTGTTTTTTCGAGGGTTCCCGAGGCGGCATACGGGTGTCGTAGGGTTCGGGCTCGAGTTCGACGATGCCTACGTAGGTTAGGTCGCTTTCGATTCGACGAGAGACATATATGCACTGGACATAGAGGATAACTTGGAATCATGGTGAGTACATTACATTAAGGAAAAAAACTGCGAACGAGCGTGCTCGGTTCCAAGTTTTCTGGCTAAAGGGGAAAAGGTAGACGGGAGGGGAAACCAGCCCTCTAAGGATGAGATTCTAATGAGCTACCAGGTAGACGACGCACTCCCTCGGCATGCGTGTCCATCCCGCACCGCGCCTGAGATCCCGTTTGATCGGGAAAGTAGAAATTCGGTTGTCGGAAGAAGCATCATCGTGGGATTGTGTAGCCGAAAGAGAGCCACTAGCAATCAAACGCGAGCGAAACAGCGAGAAGTGTCCGACACGCTATCGAATTGACATTCGATCAAAAACTTTCGATAAGCAGGTGCTACCCCGAAGATGAAACGTGCCTCACGAGTCTCGATCAAAAGTCATGAACGTCGCTCGTATATTTACAATCTGTCGGCTTCCCCAAATAGATGCATTACATTTTTATCTCTTGCGACGATCCTTCATCGGTTTTTCATCCAGTCATGGAGCTAAGAAAAGAACGCGAGGAAAACTCACGAAGCAGCATCTGATGACTCAATCAGATGCTGACAGTCGCAAAAGTATAATCGGTAATTATCCTTACGTAGCCCACAGAAAGCTAGCGCGCATCGAGTCATCATTAGATGAGCGTCCCATCGACTCCGTATGCAATCGGATCCGCGGATGTGTTCTCGAAACCCAATTGCATAACATCATCGAACTGCATCGACGGACGTGCCTCTGATCATCGAATTGTTCCACAAGGGTTTGGCTGACCGGTCGGCCTGACGACCACTCGACCACCCTTCGTGTTGTGTATCGTGAAGTGTCATGAGTCAGATCTGAGCGACGCGTTTCGTTCCGATCGATAATGAGCCTCCCCACCCCATTGTATGGCTTGTCTGACAGAGTTCGTACGTTGTTTCCCCTACGAACGGACATCATCGACCCGGTTGTCCTGCCTATCAAACTTTTCCCGTTCCAACTCCGTGTACGGAGGGACGAAGCCCGCACGCTTTGGGGGAAAATTATCTTCCAGGAGTTTCGGGGGTATATCGTCTCCGACCTCATTCCCCAGAGGACTTGCTTTGACTCTTCCCGTGGAAGTCGTCCCATGTCCGCGAGACGAATGCCACCGATCAGTCTCGTCGAAATAGGGTTCCTGGAAATTGGCGGGAAACTCAATATTATCGAAACAGTGAAATTTCGCGCAGAGAAAAATAACAACTGTAGTCGACTCGTCTTTTTCGCGAACGATATCATACTACCGCAGGGCGGTCGATGATGAAGTGCGTGATCTCATTAACACATCACGAACTGGTCGAATGAGTAAATCCCTTTATCCCCGAACTATTGATTTGATCCGCATCCTGTCGTTTTGTCGAGCAGTGAATGAAGGGGAGAAATTCCCACGCATGTGATCTCGACGACCGTGCGCTGGCTCGCCGCCTCTCGCGCATGTATATTGATAATTGTTGATTTGCACACATCTTCGATAGGAATCGCCGGCAACCCAAAAATAAATAATTGACCGGTAGCTGGGCATGACGTGACAGTGTTGCAAACGATTGATAACTTACGAAAGCTAATTTCTACTCACGACAATGCCGGTTTCGCGACAGAGACAACTCAGTCAGTCGTCATCGGTCACTGCAGAAACTGTGGCGGCTCATTCCGCGGTAGGTTCGCCTCCGGGCAGCGCAGCCCGCACTGATAGCTGTGAGCGCAATTTGATTACAGCCAATACGATTGGAACAAATTGCTTTCCAGGCGATGGCGAGTACGGACGACCTGCCGTCAACGTCAGAGGGCTCCGAGACAGGATTCGAAACCGGAGGATCGGATGAGTTTCCCTACAAAGAGGCCCCAGTGGTGCTGGACGTGCGGGGTTTGGATCTCGGCTCGAACACAACGTGCATCCCGGAGTTCTCGGCGAACCTCCAGCAAGTGAACCTAGCGGGCTGCAACCTTGCTTCGGTTCCGAACGAGCTCTTCTGCTGTCTGAAGACTTTGAACACTCTCAACTTGTCGTTGAATAAGATTGAAACCCTTTCGCCTAAATTCGGAAGATTCGGCAGGTGAGTTGAACTAGGAACACTGGATATCGTCTGCGACCAGATTGCCAGATCAAGGACCGTACCTCGGTCCTGTACAGAGGAGCGACAAGTTTCGGTAGAATTGAAAATCTCTGATGCCACAAGAGTCTCAAAACGAGTCGCCGTATCAGCCCGACCGTAAGTGAAGCGATGCAGTCAGCACAATGGGACGGTGTGATGTCGTTCACAGTTGAATTGCCCCGCCAAGGTTTGCAGATACTTTTGAGGTGATGTTCTGTTCGCCCAGACAACTGTCTTCTGACTAGCTGAGTGAGACAGTGAGTGGAAGTTTTTTCTCGACTTCGAACGAGTTCATCATCCTCATCGGTGTTTGCCGTTGGTCGAGCGGCGAGTCACCGCTGAACTCTTGAGGGATCGTGTGTGCTTCCACACAATGAAACCCGATTGTTTGATTCCGGCGAGTGCATCGCATCACGCAACGTTCGGTATGTCGTGCAGCAGAAGCTAGCCATCTTCTCCGGCTGCTTGCTTGCGGTCGCTATGAAGTTCTCTTCGGGCTCAGATACGGCGACAACGCTCCAACAGGGTGGACTTTTTTCCCACGCTCAGCGGGTCAATAGGAAATTTATCACAATATAAAGTGAGCTGAATTTGAGAATGCTCACATGTTTGCTGCATAGGAGAACTGAGGGCTCATCAAGGTCTACGTAGAATATATTATACAATCGCAATTCCCTAAATTTAATCCTCATCGCGGAGAATTGGGTTGAAGTTGAGGACAGTGGATCGATCTTCGAGCTTCTCATAGACCCGAGGAAAACGGACGCTTTCGCTCAGACAATACTTATCAGCGAAGACAGACACTCCGTGTCCGATGAGCGAGCCGAAAGCAGCTTCATCATCGTTTAAAGGAAAATATTGGAAATCGTCAGCGTCTGATGATGGCTGTCATATTTTGGAGTGCATATTATCCAAATGTTTCTCGCCCGACATCATCAATCAATTCACAGTCAATTTGGGCAGCTGGCGTCGGGTTCCATACAAAGGGCTCCGGAGAAAGTGCGGTGAGAGCTTTCACTCTTCGTAAAATATTCGCTTCGCAAAGTGCTTCATTCATTCCGTTCATTTTCGTAAAATGGTGAATGGCGTTATCCGAAACCATGTGGATAGGTGGAGCTCCGTGCTGTAAGGTCCGGTGCGCGGGGAGAATGGGGGAATCCTTGCGGAAAATGGAGACTGATGCTAGGAAAATATTTTTTTCCGGCGAGGCAAAGCAGTATTCCACGAGTTCTCTGTTCGAGCATGGAGAAATCGGAAGATACGTACGCGAATTGTTTCTTCAATCGCGAAGCGACTGCTGCGGAGGAACGTGAAGCAGAAATCGCAGCTTGAATGAGTAGAAGCTTCCGCAGGAGATCTCACGTGACAAAAGATCCAATTATGAATTAGGGGAACAGTTGGGTTGTGTATTCACCGAACAGCCGATGACAATGCTAGAGCAACTTTCACGCGTTCGAGAAACAAAAGGTTCGATCTTTTGTTCTCTATGTCGACGCACAAATCCGTGCCATTCGAAGAGCAAGGAACGAGAAAAAGTCCGTCTTGTCAAAAGACCGGCATGCGATTATTTCGACCACGACATCACACTGACGCGTTCACTGGGTGAAACTATATATTCAATCACATCGCAGACATCGGAAAGACACCCGGCGTGGTTGCACCGGACGCGAGCTGGGTCCCGATGCCCGTAAAATCAATCATGGAATAGCCAAAATCACGGCAGCGTATCACGCCCCGTATAGGATGCTTTCGTGAACAATCTTTGAAAATCCACCGCGACAAAGGCGCTTTCCTCCTGGGAGTTTTTTTTCGTCGTCGGGGTAAGTTGATTCTTGGTCTCCTTCCCATTCTACACTCACAAAAAAGGTCTGTTCTGCGGTCTGAGATGCTCGAGTCGTCTGTGGGTGGCATTTTGTTAGTGTTGTCACGGCATGCGTCGACGGCGGGCTCCTCGATGGAAAGATCGTTCTTCTCCATACTGGGTTTGAGAGGGGGAGCAGGGATACCTCAATCGATGTTCAAATCACTATCGGATGGAGCTTCACGATCCGGCGCGTTCGGGAAGCTCAGAAGCGCAATCATCACACCTATTCGGCTCCAAGTCAAACGAAGAAAACCCGAAGGACGAGGGACGAAATTGCACCGGAACGTTTTCCGAACATTCTGGATCCGCGACTTCGATGGGGAATGTTCCATTTTTCGTTCATCGAAACTTCGCTGAGATTCGGCAACTTCGTGAAAGGCCTGTGTACTTCCGCCCCCTCCCCCGTATCGGAGCTCGGGACGAAGGGCAATCGGCCCTCGAGCTGATATCTCCAATTTCAGGAGTTTCCGAAATTCTCTTCTACTCGTGTGTTTTCCTAAAATCGGCGTTGGTGGCGGTGAGAGCCGCCGCCAGATGTTTCTGAAGCTGGCGATGCTCATAGTCGGACGCACTTCAGTCAGCGTCTGAGCTGCAACTCTGGCTCGCTTATGTCTTGTGTGCGGGGTGAAAATCAGCCAGCCAGTGATTCACCGCTACCGCCGCGCCGTCTGGGCCTTGCTGGTCACCAAACCATGTGTGACTAGGAGCCGGCGTCAGGCATTATTCCGTAAAGGAACTCCCAACACAAGCCGCAGCAGCTCTCACGGGATTCTGTTTTTTTTATCCCTTGGAGAATTCGGCCGTTTACTCCACTTCCACGAAGCCTCCAATTATCCTCATCAAGCGTTCTTATCTTCTGTGTTCTGGAAATCTTGCGATTCTAAATTGGATCTGTCAGTTTCTACATTTTCCGAACCGGAGGATGGCTCGGAAACGAATGGTCTCTATGATTTGTAGGTAAATCGCATCGATGTCGAACGTTCCTAAAAAGTTGAGGGACTGGTTTTTCCTAGGTGCAGAGGGGATTCACTGAAGTGTCTCTGGATCTTGTATAGTTCGGAGCTTCGAAAGTGAACTTTCAAAGCTGGCAAACGCTGGCGGAATTTCTCAACGACAGTACAAAAGAATCACTCTACCGCTTAGGTCCCCGAGCAGGGCAAAGACGGGGGCTAGGTAATGTGGGTCAGCCAGCGTCCCTCGGCGTCTGACGATGAGAGATACCGTTGAGATCCTGGTCCCGCGAACGAAACACACTAATGAATCACGTGTCTGGTAGACGATGTTGAGCGGCACGCTTTGAGCGTAGGTACTTGCGAGCCTAAATTCGACCGGGGCAGATTGGTCGGGCTCGGTCCGACCATTTCAAAGATCTTTCATTCCGGGAAGCCCTCAGTACTGTCCAACTGTTTGGGCCGAGCTATGAGGTTTGCCGGCCGAGAAGCTCGAAAACTGCGCGTACTTACCCCATAGATTTCGAAGCGGGTTCAGCCTCGCTGAAAGGACTCCGCCTCGATGACAATGACAAAGCTTAGGAAGTCTTGCTCCGGTCACTCCCAATTACTCGCGTTCCGAGAACTCACGTATTAGCGAACGACCATCGAAGACGCGACTTCGCTGCGCGTTTGGAAAACAAACTACGTGCGAAGACAGCCGCGCCTTGCTTTGTTCGAGAACTTCGCGAGCGCTTTCCGAATTCTTTTGTTCGTGACGAACTCAAATGACGCCCCAATAATGAAAGTGAAATTATAGTCGATCGCCTGCCTTCCAGAGAACAAATATAAACATAGGCGGAATGTCCCTTTCTCTGACTGAGTGAGTCCTAGACTGATAGACGACGCGACCGGCTGGCTGAGCGTCGCGATGCCCGCGACTTTGACCGGTTCCGAAGTATGCGACGACATCGGTGCGTGAACGGAAATTGAGATGAAAGTTGAAATTCCACCCACGCGCTGTGAAACCTTCCGTTCGTTTCTAGCGCTTTTTCATCGACGGATACCACACGCAGGCTGCAGGCGAGGCCGTATCGCGCTGCGTGTGCATACTGTACAATTACATTCGTATCACGGCGATGAGGGGGGGGAAATCCGAGGACAGTGGGTCTGCGTTGTTGTGCACCACGCTGACGTTTCACGCAACGTGAGCAAAATCACCGGGATCGCTGGCTCGTCCGACTGCCCTCATGAAGACATCGTCACTTGGCTTCGCTTGCGATTACGTCTCGATCCGTCAAGCGCTTTCGGTGATCGGGAAATCCGTGGAGCGTTCACTCGTTGATCGTATCAGCACCGATAGTATCCACCAATCCATGGGGCATGATCGATCTTGCGCAACGCTTCTGAGTCCACTCCGATCATCATCTCAAATTCAACGCGAAATTGATACGTACTCAGCTTTCTGCGCGGCTCAATGAGTCCGCTCCGTTTGTAAAAAAAAACCACGCCCGTAGGAATCCGCATCGGTCACAATCAGAATCTCTTTCACGACCAACGAATATAAGTTTCGGTGTCGAACCGATCTGATCACCATCGTTGCTCTTGAAGTTCAAACTTTCTGGTAAACTTCAGGACGGAGCGCTCAGTGCCCAGTGCTGTTGGAACAAATCAAAGTTTATTTTTGCAGGTTGCGCTCGTTTTACGCCGATTTCAACGATCTTTCTGAGGTTCCTGCGGAGCTTGGATGTTTACACGACCTTGAGGTGCTATCCCTGAAGAGCAATCGATTGAGAGAAATTCCACAAGAGTTCTGTCATCTAGCGAACCTGGAGAAGATCTCGTTGGCAGCCAACGGATTGTGGAAATCCCCGGAACCCCTTTTCCCCTATTGGACCCATCTCCGACACTTGGATTTGCGGAAAAACGCTCTGAAGGCTCGGCTCGATCTCAATTCGATAGCCGTGAGTACGGTCCCTACCGACGGATAATAAGGAAACAATATTGTGTGCTTGTGCGACGGGGCAAATGGAGAGTCTGCTTTTTATAGAAGCTTCTATTCTCATTAAACCAGTGCCTGCGTTACCTGGAAATCTCGGAGAATGCAATTCCGGAAATAAGATTGGAAACTCTGCGCGACTTAGAGTACGTGGATTGCTGTCATAATCAACTGTCCAAGCTCCACCTCAATAGTCAGAAACTGCTGCACCTCAACGCTTCTTTCAACAGTGAGTCCTCTGAATACATCGGCGAGACACGATAAGCGTGCCTGTACCCCTATTCGATCACTCGGTAGTCATGCGGCTCACTTCGATCGGGAATCGAATGTCGCTTTGCGACCCTTGGTTGACATTCTCCTGAGCTCGGTGACTTGTTGAATCACGCCGATTTCAATTGCAGACCTTTCGAGCTTGACCGGTTCAAGTCACGTCACTTCGCTACTGTTTCTTGACGTTTCGAAGTAAGTTCACAATTCAGTCTTTGAGGCGTCCCCGTGGTTGGACGCTTTCGTTCGCAAGTTCCGTTTGAAAGTTTTTTGTGCTCTTCTCTGAGCATTGCCTGCTCCCATTGTGTCGAATGGACATCGTTGAGCAGCGTGTCTCCTTCGTTTTCGTTCGCCCCCTTTAGTGCATGGATGGATAAACAGCTCGTTTTGTAAACAACGAATGAACATCGTTGTGGATCCAGGAACCGTCCGCCCGTGCCCTAACAAAACGGATGTGGGGCTCCTTCATCGCTGCATCGGATCCAATCGAGATTCCTAAACCACGAATATGTTCCAGCAATCAACTTCCACATTGTCCACCGTGGATTTGCCAAAATACGAATCTCGCCGAGATTGATCTAAGTCACAATCTTTTGGAGAAACTGCCCGAAGCGTGAGTATCATGCATCGAACGAAGGCGTGATCCATGTGCGGAACATACGGAACACGATACTTGCGGAAAGTCCCTCAACGTACAGTTCATCTCATGGAGCTCTATGCTAAGTAAGCCCCAAGTACCTGAGTCTTGCTCTTCCGGCTCGCTTGCAGTTTGCTTCTTCTGCCCCGACTGGATACGCTCCGCGTCAATCACAATCGTCTCCGGAGACTTGACGTCTCGAGTGGGGCTCGTTTCTTCATCCGTCATATAGATCTCCAGCACAATGAAATCTCGCCGAATATTCCCGATGATTTCCTTCTGGAAGCTCCGAGGTGAGCAGCGAGCGATACGTGCAAGGCGGCTCGGCGTGCCGAGATATCGCAGCTAAGTCTAGAAAACGATCGAAATCCGATTGAAATTCCAGATTGGAATGGCTAAACGCGTCATGGAATCGACTCCGGTCTTTCCCAAACATCACGGGTTTCCAGCTGCCGTTTCGATGGCTTCTGCTGTCCCACAACGATCTGGTGGACGATATATGGAGCTTCATAATATGCTGTCCGAAGCTCCGGGTCTTGAGGCTCACTTTCAACAACCTACGAACGATTCCTGACGAGTGAGTACGAACTCCGCTAGCTCGATAGGACTGAATCGAATGAGAGGATTGCGCCTAGAGGGAGGGAAGCCGTTCTGAAAGGGCTTAATTACGGCCCTCACTTGCAGTCTATACAGCTTGACGGACCTCCGAGACCTCCATCTGACCGGGAACAAACTTTCGTCGATGCCGTCGAATATTCCATTTGTGATGGCTCAGCTCGAAACACTACTGCTCAACTGCAATCAACTCGCATCCCTGCCGGCCTTCGACAAATGTCAATATTTGACACGGCTCGATGTTTCATGCAATCTACTGAAGGAAGTCAACCTGAGTTCGCTCGTTCCCCGCAGTCTCGAAGTTCTGGATATTTCCTGCAACGAGAAGATTGGCGTAGACACCGATGAGTTCCAACAGCTTTGGTACAGTAGTTCTAGGATCCCTCTTTGCGTAGCTATAGCTCAGTGGAAGAAGTAAAACGATCTCGGCCATCCATCAGGAAAAATGATGAAATCACCACGCATCGTAATTTGATTCTCTTCCGAGTAGCGGAGACAGGAATGTATCGGTGGTGGACACCAACTTCAGCGGAAGACTAGGCCCTTTTGACAAGAATATCACCGATACGGCGCTCGGGAACCTCCATTGGACCACCGGTTTCTGCGAATCCGACCGAGGACATTCCAGGTGAGGCGATCGCCGATTTGCCGTCAATGTAGAATTTCGACGTACCAATGACAAATCGAGCAATGGTCGATGAGAACTCTTTTCTTCTCGAATGATATATGAATGGAATGAATAATTTCCGCTCCCTCCCTGATTCAGGCTGTACATAAATCAATGCTCGCAAGCAGGCGCCAAACACCAGGAAGTCGTTCTTGCTATCTGTGAGTCGTACGTCAAGCCTGCGGTCTGCTCGGAGGCCAAAGCTCATTTGGCTGACTTGATTCGCGATATGCGGAAGAAGCATCAGGAATCGGAGGGCGGAGCTCTCGCTCGAACGAGTGTCGCCCTCCAGAAAATCATCCACAAAGTGTACAAGTAAGCTCAGCAAGCGGCTCGTCTCTGCGCATGAGACTTCCGAAAGGCTCCCGCTCCATCTTTCGCAGGAGCTCTGATTGCGTCCATTCATTACAGAAACCTCGAAAAACAAATATGTCCTCATCAAATGTCGATGATCTTGTGCCATATCACGCCCTCTGAAGCGAGTCCAGGTTTCCTGGAGCTGACGATACTGCACTCTGGGGCGATGAGCTGCATTGTTGGAGACATGAAGAATAGTAGTTGTCCTTTGCAAGACGCTACTTTGGATCGAACGAAGTTTTGTGTACACCAGGAGTGGAAATCTTCGGCAGGGGCAAGTCATCTTCTGGCAAGACTATTTTTATCGATGACCTTCCATGAGGGGCAAGCTCGAGTATCACTGTAGGAGCCCGCGACACTCATGCAAGGTTTCCTCCCCAGGCTGGTTTCCCGCAGCAAGGCAGGCAGATCAGCGAATCCCAATTCTGCGACGCGATCCCTCAACCGCAAACTCTGTCATTGAATCTGAATGTATCGAGTACATCCGTCGTGATATTCTCCTCTTCAATGCTGACCGAGGCGCTGACGCCGGGGAAAATTGTCGAAGAATTCCGCAGCAGTCCGAATGCGGTAGCAGGTCAGCGTCCTCATGGGTTTTGACTCAATCTGCTAGGGTTTCGGGATGTTTAATGTGAAACACCTCGGCCGGCGTAATTTATCTAACGGAAAAGTCTCTCTGATTCTGCAGGTGCCAAAAGACTGAACGATGCTGTGTGCAGCTTGATTAGCGACAGAGGAACTTCTGTGATTGCCATAGATCTAAGCCAAAGCAACCTGAAAGGAGTCGCACCCGTGAAAGACTCCCCGGAGGATAAGAAGAGTCTGTACGCTCAGATTAGACCAAAATCCTTGGTGGGAAAATCTGTGCACTTCCAACCATTCCCTTCGGAGCCCGTTAAACAATTGGAAATGAAAGATCTGAAGTCTTGTGCCAGCAACTCGGGCGGAACTTCAAGGAGACACTGGAGGCAGAGCAAACTCCTGGATGAGTTCCCACAGAATGGTGAAGCCTACAAAGCATGGGAGTATGTCCTCGAGGAAAATCACAAGAAACTCTTTGACCAAGAGCTCGAATCGATAGGGAGCATGTCTACCCATAGCTCTTTGCCGAAGTCCAGCCTCCGACGGAATCTTGTTTCCTTGCCGAGCGGAACTCCAATGAGCCGATTCTAGACTCCGGGAAGTGGAGACACATCCCAGCATGTATCTAAATATGTACAATTTTCCCGGGTTCGTGACACGGAGAACGCAATAAAAGGCAGCGTCCGACCTCGACGAAACGGCTCTTGATAAGTGATATGTACTATAGGATGCGGCATCCTCATTACGGATTTGAACTCGCTCCAAGATAATTTTGTATTGAGCACAGAAAGTTCTCAGGAATGAGCGAAGGAAGAATGAAACTCATTATCCGAAGTCCCCTATTCGACCCCGCCCAGTATCCGAGACCTCAGGAGAATCAATTTCGCTCGCATAATTTAACATGCACAGATGGGGTGTCGCCCTCGAGGAAGCTTTCCCTCGAAGAATTTGGAAGAGAGTCCCTTTTTCCCATCCAGAATTCCGATTTCTCCGGACTTCACGAAGTCTGCGACTGCGGAGATTTCGACAACTGCAGGGAGACCGTATTCCCTTGCCATTACCGCTCAATGCGACATGAGTCCCCCAATCTCAGTGAAAACACCGGCGAACAGAGGGAAATAGGGTGTCTCGCCTGGAAGTGAGCTGCTGTCACGAACTTCATTGCGGTGGATGCCTCGCGAAGTATCTTCTTAATTTGTGGAGTCACGACCGGCTCTCTCACCCCGTATCGGTAGCTCGGGTAAATAAAATGTCTCCTCTTTCGATCAGATGCGCTTCGGAAAGGAAGTCTCTCACGACCCGAGCAGGTCCGACCGCTGTTCCTTCGCTGACTGGGGTTCCTTTCAAGCTCTGCGCTTTGGAACATAACGGGTTTCGGCATTCCGTATAGAAGGAAGGGGAATTGCCCTTGGTCGAGTACGCCATGCATCTTCTGTCACCGGATCGCTCTACGAATGGGAACAAAATCCTTAGAAGCATGTCATAATGATAACGTGATCAAGAATGACCTTGATTTCCAGACGACTCGCAGGAGTCATGATCTTACTCCGAGATCGATGTCGCGTCCCTCGACTTGATGAGACGGAGCGGCTCGTCGCAAATGAAAAAAAATCAGTTTTCAATCGACAAGTCTGCCCTCGAGCTGTAGCTGTTTGCCCACTCTTGGCATGGCGAGGCGCAGCTTATGGGTCAGCTTGACAAGCCCTGATTTGTTAACCTCTCTCAAATACACCGCATATTGGGTTTTTTTAATGAAAGAAATGAGCAGTCTCCTCTTTGGGAAGCTAGGCCTCCTCGTCAATACTGATGCGCCTCTATCTTTAGTGAGTTTTCCGTTGCTCTGCACGTTCATCTGCAGCGTTTGATCACGGGTATGGGATCAATGTCCCAGGTCGTGGCATGGATGTTTGTAAGAGCGATGCGCGATCTTCGCTCTGAAGGCTCGGAATTCCAAGGCGGACCCGCAATCTTCGGTCTCCAACCATTCCAAGGCAGCCTGGGAGTCATGTACGGGAAACGATCTGCCACCGGGTCGTTCCGTAGTGAACCCGACGAAGCCTGTAGCCTAGAAGCTGGAGAAAGCGTGCGGTGATTTTTATGTGCGTCGACTATCTGTGATGAGATCGAGGCTCCGAGAAACGATATAGTACGGACTACTACATAGACTTCTTACGGCGGTCGGAATGGGCTCGGGATCCCTCACCTGCAATCCGAGCGGGATTCGCACGCTTTCTATTTCATATCCGGAGCGGAGAAGTTTCGGAAGGAGGATCGTCGGTTCGGGGGTATTGCGCTGCTCACCCTGACTGCTCTTGAGCATCGTGAGCACAACCTAGTGGTAGAAAGTGAACAAAGTCACCGTCAAAGTCGCCGGCTGGAGATATTCCAAGAGCCTCGGGATCAGCTCCAGAGCGTCCAGAAACGGAGTCATGGAGTCGCCTTCTGTGTCTAAAGAGATCCCCCCCCCCCGCTCTCATGGCCGCGTGCTACAGAGTCGACTCGAGGACGCGTTTTCACTGGTGGGAATAGGCAGAGTCGATCGGGGCAATGAGAAGGTATATCCCGCATAATCTCTCTCTCTACGGCGAACCAAACGAGATTCCCATCTCTTCACTCGGGAGTTCGGGAGTTGTACGCGTTACAGAAATCCCTCCGCAGCGAATCCGAAAACCTACTATGATATATGTCGCCACGGATATCAGGCCCATAGAAGCTTCTTTCTCGTGTAGGATGCCCTCCTTCATCGCCGCGTGTTCCTGAATATCATGACTGAGTATTGTCAAGGAGACGGTGTCAGAAGCTGCTCTGCTCTGAGTGGGTGAAAGGTTTCTAGAAGGAAATTTCGACGTATGCATACGAATCGAAACTCGAAGCTGCCGCCGGAATCAGAAAACCCCTCGAGAATGGTTGCCGTAGAGAAATACATTAGAATACTTCATGGAACACTTCTTCCCCCAGAGAGAGAGCTGCTGTTACGTAAATTGACTCCGATCGATCTTGACGGAAACCATTCCACCGAAGTTTACCAAGGGTCCAAGGTACCGACGACTATATTCATCGATATTCATTGAAAGTAAATCTTCCGATTGTGCTGGGCACTGGTCCTCCCTGATTGACATCCAGCGTCCCTTGCATTTCGGCTGGGTGGAGTGCCGAGGGTTGCTCCCATAACCAAAGGTCTTCCGGGCTGTTCTAAAAGCACGATGAGCCGTGCCGTTCTGGAATGTCCCGACATGGGAAGGAGAAGATTAGCATCTTGCAGCAAGTGGTGAGCTTGCTCTTCTGAATCAAGTCTGAAATACGTGCATGGAGTGTGGCAGTGCTAACCTCCGCGTGTCCGATGGTAATCTCCATACCCTGTAGGAACGTGGAGCCCCCCATGTATTTTATTCGAGAACCAAAAAGCATGCATTCGTGTCTCCGGCCTTCCACGAAGATTTCGGTGAAAAGCGTGACCGGTTGTAGAACGGCTTGACATCCGTTACAGCACAGCACCTGGGATCAAGGAGAGCGGAGCGAGCTTTGAGGAGAAATTATAACATGTCCTTACCCATCCTCGTCGGACTATGCCTCCCGTATCGAACCTACTTCGGTAGCTCTGTCGTTGCCTCTCCAATGTTTGCCGTATCGGAAAACCGCCTGGCGAGGAAGGAGGCACGGACTTGCTTCGGAAGCTCGAAAGTGTGTCCCGACATTGCAACTTGCGCTCAAAAACCTACATGAATGCCAGTTTGGGAAATCCCTTCCCCGAGATCTTCCACCGTGGCATTGACTGCCAAACGCCATCGCCTCATGGGAGCATTTCGTTCCAGACGGAGTCCACCATCACAGTAAGTTTGACCTTGAGATGTTTCTCCACCCAGACACTGATCTGATACAAGTTAAACGACATTCTACAGTCACTATGTCGCTAGTCTCCAGCACTTGGAGGTACTCATTCCACGACCGTGACTCACCGTCACTGATATCTTTGTAAAGCGCTTCACGCAGAATTAGACGACGCTCGCGGATCTCGAGGTAGACCCATGCGATTGCAACCTGCTGTTCGAGGGTCTCGAAGAAAATCTCTAAATGTGTTCCACTCGAAGGGTCACATCCGTACCAATAAAGCCAATCCTGAGTCTGGTGGATCAGAGAAAAAACTTCTCCAACAACGAGCCTCCCCGCCTCTTCCATGGAAATGCCTGGATTCGATGAAAGTTATCGAGGGATCAGCGATCTCAACGGGAGCGGAGAGTCTAGAGTTCATTCTTCCTCACAATATACAGCGTTCATCTTGATGGGTTCCTCAGTCGCCTTCCTTGAAAAAACAGGCAGCTCTAATTCCATCTTCTTCAATTGACCCTCCGCGTGACGCTCCGACGTCTTCAGGCGCGCCATCAGTCGGGTAATGTAGCGTATTAGCCCACCTAGTCGTTTTCTTGGTTTGTATTCGGTTGGAGACTCCTGAACGATCCAGTTTAGAGACACTTAGCATGCAAACCCCGTCGCTGACAAGAGTATATTATACATCCGTCCTTTACACAAAGCTACCTATCGATGCCCGTCCGAGCGGTTCGAACTATACTGAGCGTTCAGCCGACATGACACCGGGGGCAGCGTGCTTGGTCGAATTGGTCTCCGAGAGTTATCCTGCTGCACCATTATATATTTCAGCACCTCCCCCGCTACCAAAGGCGACCCTGATGGAGTTTTTCAACTGAATCCTCGCGCCGCCGGTCGCTCATCCTTGGACAGCCTAGATTGGTCCTGCGGACGTGCCTGGATTGGTCGATGTTGACACCGAACTTCCACGGCCTCCAATTTATTCTCTCTGCATCGAGAGGCATGAATCTCTCCCTGTAGTTTTCTTCGTCCGCCCGCTCCATTCCAGGCGGACCGACCGCATTGTCGATATCAACAGAACTTGTCGCGATTCGTGATTGGAAAAAACGAAAGAAGCTCCCCTCGACCGAGCTCGACTCTATCCACAACGGACTCCGTCGGAGCTCTCGAAGTCCAGCTGTCATGCTCAAATGATCGAGTTCCCGATTCGAGTCTGCCACGATGCGGGAAAAAAGCGAGCAATTATGGAAAGAGGAGCGTTGATGGAGCCTCTCTCCTCACCGAAGGCCACCGTGTTTCCTTGCTCCCGCACGGTATTTGTTCTTCATTCTGATCTACTTGTTGTGGCTGTGCTCATAGAAACCATATGGTAGAGTCAGTGAGTAATGGAACAGGCAAGGAGCGGTGCATGACCCCGCCAAACGATTTCGATGGTCGTCGGAAGATCTAGTTTCTCGTCTACGTTCGGTGATTTCGTCATCTATAGCAGGAACCAGAATCGCCTCAGTCGAATGCATCACATAATATATTATGTTTTCAAGAGAGTCTCGATTGCGTCCCGTGTCTGCCCCTACCGAGTTAAGTTGGGAATTAGGCGTCCTAGCCCCCTGGATGAGCTCGGTCGAGCTGAAAGAGATATCCGACCGAGAATCAGTGAGAATGATGTGAGCTCAGTCGATCATCGAGCATCTCTTTGGAACAGAACTTTACGATCCGCTCAAGATTAGTCAGGGTAGGGTCCGGTGGGCATATTCCGAGTTATTGCGAGGTGCTACATGCATGACATTACCACGCGAGTCCGCCATCCCAAGCAGAGCCGTGCGCCGCGTCACGAATTTGCCGGCGATCGCCGTCGCCGACCTCTGGAGTCCGCCGCCTGAACCCGAACACGGCTGGCCGTGCCCAATCCTCATGGAAAGTAACAGAAAACCACGGAGAAAAAGTTGGAAACTCGGTTCGACGTGCTGAGCTCGCACGAGAATACGGGGACATAGCATTCGAATGAGACGGGAGCATTCGAACGTTCCGGACCGAAGCTCCATCGAGTGGTTCGTGGTCGTTGAGACCCCTGACTGATCAAGTAAACTTGAATTCATCGGAAGATCGCACGTGTCCAATAGTATTTCATCCCCGACAAACGAGGAGACGCGATCAGAGGACTTTCGAACGTGCGTTTCACCTATCCCGCGGCGCGCCGTGGGCTCATCGGTCCGCGGAAAATCGGACGAGAATCCCATGGCGCTCGGCTCGATCCCAGGTCGGTGTCCGACGGAGGCGACCCATGCGATAGAGTGTGTGAGCGTTGTTGTGCCAAGGCAAGGAAAAGGAAATTCCATTGGATGCTTATTTATAAAAATTCCTATCTCCTCGACCCGGGTTCGAACAATATCAAGACGCTACCAGCGAGGCTAGATATTTCTTGCTCCCAACCGTGATTTTGTTCGTCCGCTTGCAGTGAGCAGACTGGCGAGAATTAGAAGTGACGTTCTCGCAGACTCTGTGCATATATTCTATCCGCAGCTCAGGCTCCGCGGCTCTCATTACATGGAGTTCTTTGGTCGCGAGGAGCACCTCGGCTATACCGTATATACAATCTTTGTACGCTTCCCTGTCCAAGTCGGCTGAGACCGTCGCTAGCGGAATAAGTGGCAAATTCCTACGAATACGTAAATAGTCACCCACAAAAATTGAGAGGTTTTCGACATTATTGATATCGAAAAAACCGGAGTCTTTGGTGATAGATTGGCCCACTGTTTGTGCAAGGTTCTTATATAAGGTAAAGGGTACTGGTAAAAACGTTTGCTCGTTCCTGATGGTATTCAAGCGTACACGGTTGAGGAAATTCTCCGTCAGAAGAACGTTCGGTTGCACGATGAGCATTATCCCTTCAGGTGAGAGCTTAGAGGCGACAATATCAATCAGTCCGAATTCCGGTATGTGCTCTGGACACTGAATTTTCAGTACCGCTATCCTCGCCGCTTTTTTCAAAAACTGTTTTGAATATGTTTCGGCTAATTTGCGGACCCGATCGAAACCGTCTTCTTCGTTTTCCTTATCTCTGTACGCGAACACGAGCAGAAGCATCGAGTTATCTCCTTTTTGCATCAATTTCGAGTAGTTCTGCAAAAAAGCCAAAGCTCTATCGATTTCACCGCCATGGACCACAACCACGATCGAGATTCTCGTGCTCTCGGTTACGTAGGGCATCGGTGTCAGTTCGGACAGGCTCAGGGGTCTGACGACTTTGAGTCGTTTGAGATTTCCGTTCAGCGATACGTCGATCAGATACGTGGCTCCGATGACTGGATCGACTGTCAGCCAGCCGTTGACGAGCGTCACCTTTTCTTGGAGATGCTTCTCACATGCTCTGACGATTGATTCTATGTCGCTCGAAGAAATCTCGTTCAGAGCTTCAATCACCTGGAGAGCGGGGAGTCAGCTTAATCGAAGCTTCTCGGCGAAACACCCACCGACAAATCGGCAAGACGAGAAGAGAGGCGAATAGTTATTGTGTGTCAGCGATGCTGATGGGGTCGTAGAGAATCAAGTCTACCTTGTTATCAGTATTCCAAAATAGGTGCGTCATATTGAAGTAAGTAGTCCTGATGACATCGAAGCGTTTTTTTGGCTGGAAGAACTTCCGCAATCCACGGGGCCAGAGATCCGGCAGACTACACCTGTCGTTTATCTCGGCTATGTTACTGCTGATGCCGACGAGTTGCCTTTGAACTTTCTTGTAGGTTTGCTGGTCTAGTTTATGATTCAGTTGGTAGAAGTTATTATGGTAGTTCAATGGAGCAACGCTTATCACTGGTCGCTGCGGAGAAGGGGAATGGACCGTGAGACTTGGGCGCATCCTAGCGCAGGATAGAATCCCGAAGGATCGATTCTCATGCAATCAATTCCGGCACGAACCTGTGAGTCAGAGAAAGATCTCGGATCGAGTCTTGAATCAGCGTCCACTGATAAATACTGACTGTTGCCTACGCGGGTCTGACAAGATATCGGGTTGTACTTCAGAAGGCAAGTCAACGCGTCATCGTCATCTAGAAAATCTGCATCACCGCGACACTTCTGAAGGTTTGGAAGGATCTGAAAAGGCGTGGATGAAAACTGTGCTTGAGTCTTGACGGTAAAGTGGTACAGCCGAATGACATGGGGATTCAGGCTATGAGCCGCTTGGCGAAAGTGACTATATAGGGCAATGGGTCTAGGTTAGTGGGAGACTTTTTGACGAGCCCCTTAGTAATCGACGCGGCTTGTTTCGAGGAATCGGCCGAGAGCCGAAAATCTTAGAATGCGATTTTCTCGGAAGCGGTGAGAGATAGAGAGTCGTGCTTGGCCGCGTTGGGAAGCCGACGAAAAATGCTCTTATAAAGCCTGAGGTATCGATCAGCTCGAGTTGGACTGGAGCAAAACTCACCCTGAACAGTACTGACTCCGAAAACAGGATCCCGTATTCCAAGTCGCAAATTCTCGGGTCTGTTGCCAGGGGGGTTCCCATGTAAATGTCCTGAGATATGCTCATATGATTGACGAGGGACATGAGGTTGTCGCCTCGCAGGAAGGTTGAAGCTCGAGCGATTAGCACGAAATCATATTCTTTGGCTAGTTGTCTTGTTTCTATGTGAAGCATGGCGTGGTAGAGCAAGCGATTGCATTCACTGTGAACAAACACCACGTTTGCTCGAGATGCGGAGCTATTCGATGCGGAGTCTGAACAGACGTAAAACACGAGTTTCGAAGCATGAGAAGCGAGAGTGTGGTTGAAGGCTCTGCCGAAATCATCAAAGTTCTCGCGATCGCTCAAGCTGATGACCAGAAGTTTTTCCTTAATTTCTAATTCCGTTGAATAGAATCTGAAAGAACCGAAAGAGATCTCAAAGAATGTTCTGTCGTGACTGGTTCAATTTACGCTTCTTCTGACGCTCACCTTGGCCGAATCACAGTCGAGTATTGTTTGTTGGCTTCGGTATCCCTGGTTTGAAGATTGATGATCGGTCTGATGGCAACGTCGGCATCAACATCACAGCTCAACGGAGAGACAAGGAGCAGCGATGCGATGACTCCGAGGAAGAGTCCAACCATGAATGGGACGCGACGCAAGGATATGCGACGCAACATAATTTCGGCCTCCGGGAACCAGCGACATGATCACCGTAACAAAAGGACCCTCATTCCAATTCCTTCCACATTGAGCTTGTCACCGTTGCCGTCCATCGTTCGATATATTCTGTAAAAACCGCGGTAGTTTCTCCTCAATTCAGACCTCGACCGAAATCAATAGGACGACGAAAGGATTTTCAGAGACTTCGTGCTGGTCATCCTGGGTGACTTGCGCCCGTTTTGTTGGCCGAGCCGCTCCAATAGAACTCTTTCATCGACTGATGAGAACATCTGGGAAATGTGTTCGGAAGCTACTGGTGGTTGCTAGTGATTGTTTTCTTCTTCTTCTTCCGGCTAAGCAATCGCCACGAGTTCAAGGAACCACATCGTGGACGTTCGGAAACTTTTTTTCAACTCGATCAGAATGTGGAGTAATCGGAATGTTCCATTTTGTTGCTTCCTCGCGACGGCAAACGAACGAAATCTCGCTCTTCGGTTCTCCGAGGGCGACTTGTTGAATCCAGTCGAGCCCAGTTCCAAATCGAGAGACGGGCGGCTCGTGACAGACGGGATTCCGTACCGGTATCCGTTGTGAAGTTGGTGGTCTTAGCTCGAGCATCCAAAATCGAGGTTCTCCCGTCGGATTTCGGGAGATTCGGTAGTATTCTCAAATTAAATTCAAACCGGCCAGCTCTGACAGCTCCGAAGTACCCGGTTGGACTCTCACCAATTAGCTCCGGTGGTTTCCCGTTTGTCGTGGCCGTGATTCACGTTGTTGCGGTTTTCGAAACGAAACCACAAACGAGTCGAACAATCACACGAACACACACACAAACGCGCCGCGATGGAGGGGCCTTGTGCACAACGACCGGAGTTTTCACAAGCTACGAACGAATGTGCTGCATCCTGTCACTGCGCTGACTGCGTGGAAAGGGACTCCAACAGACTGAGAAAGAGACTCGGCTGCCACCTTTTATTAGCTCTCGACGAAAAAATCCAGGAACCTCTGGCGGGCTCCGAGTACGCGGACTATCCCGGGTGCCGGTTGCCTGTTGGTTCTCGAATTCATCTCGGATTTCGGCGATTGGAATCGACTGGAACGTGTGGAGGATAATCATCGAGGATATTCACGGCGCGTGCGCTCTCTCTCGATATGCACTAGATTACAGATATGAGTCAAGGCTTGAATAATGATTCCAGCGACTTTTTCGCCTTAGCACAGAATGCCGCAAGTTTATTTCCCGCTCGGAGCTCCGACCGGACTCTAGTTTAAATTCCTGCGAGAAGCTCACGGTCTTCCTTGAATATTGCTCGAAACGTCTGTCGATCGCTCACGACACGCGGGTTCTCGACGGAGAGTCAGGGCACCTTGTCCACCTCGCGCGAATCTGTCGCCGATCTGAACCAGAGTTTTGAGCTCAATCGAAACTGACTGCATAGAAATTCAATCTCTTTTAGTCAATCGCTTTAACCGGGATTTCGCCTCGAAACCCCATTATCGTGTTGACTTCCGTCAGGGAAGCCCCGGGGAACGATGAACGGGAATTTCTCTATGCGTCACAACCTACATACAATCGAAGCTCTGACCAAGTGGTCGACGACGGAATGCATAGCTTCATCTAGGAGTCATTTTTTATCATCTTAGAGTCATGTTTTATTATCTTAGAAACCCGTGCCTATATGAGAATGAAATTCTCTCAGAACAAATCGGAAATGACTGATTGCTCCGAGTCGTCATATCAACTGATCTCGGAAACCCGGACTACCAGCATACACGAGTGTGCCCGGTGCGCGTGTTACCGCAGCTCGCTATTTGAGGGTCATAAGTAGCGCATGAGGCTTCTCCAAGTAGTTCTTCCAGACATTGGAGAATCTGCTGACTGTCGCTCCGTCGATCACCCTATGATCCGCCGACCAGCTGACATTCAAGACGTTCACTGGAACGATTTCCCCAGCTGGAGAGAAGCGAGGAAGCTTCCGAATTCTTCCGAGAGCGCCGATGCAGACCTCTGGTTGAACCAAAACTGGGAATGCGTAAGTGCCCCCGATCTGCAAAATCGATCAACGCATATATCGACGAGTCTGTCCGAGTCCATATTCCTCACCCACTTGCCCCGAAAAGGATCACTTGCCCCGATCCCAATTGTGAGTGAATTTCTCACCGATCCAATGTTCGAGAGCGAAAAAGTTCCTTCGACGAGGTCTTGAGTACCAACTTTGCCGTTCAGGCAAGCCTCTTGCAGACGATTCAGTTCGGCCGCGATCTCGAGGATGCTCTTTTCCTGATCAAGTGAACGTAAAATCAAGATACAAGCTCGGATCGCAAGAGCGAAAATAGGTGGTTTCCCTTCTTGATCTTGAGAAACTCACTTGGCACTTCTTGATATTTGGCACAATCAAACCCTGAGGAGTATCCATCGCTAAACCAATATTATGATCGTCCTTGTAGATGATTTTCTCTTGACAATCGGATAAAGACGCGTTCAGAATCGGATACTGAAAGTGGAGTGAGGAGAATTAGGAAAAAACGGCTCTTCAAACAGAATGACGGACTCGGGAGAGATCGCATTCAACTTGCCTCTAAGAGCGCCACTGAGGCGGCTTTGATGAAGAAAGGCATGTAAGACAACTTAACGCCAGAGCTTTTCGCTTGCGCAACGAGATCCTTCCGGATAGCCATGAGGGCGTCCATCTCAACCTCATCCTTATAGCCGAAATGCGGTATCTGCAAGGACTTAGTCATCGTCTTCAGCATGGCCCGAGTATAGCCACCGATGTCCACAATCCTGGTACGAGGTGCTTCGTCTGCAAATTAGTACAGTCAGGTTCTACAGGGGTTCAGCAGAAGTCTGCTTGAAACATTTGGGCTTAATGACCCGAGCCTTACCTTGCGTCGTTGGCGCGGGTCGTTCGACACTCGGTTTATTCTGAGTGTAAGCGACTATGTCGTCCTTCAGAACCCTTCCATTTTTTCCCGTAGCTCTAACGGCGCTCAGCGCTACCTAGAAGCGTATAGTGATAGCCGTGGCACCCTAGGTCAGATTAACCTCCCCATGTGCATCGAATAGGCATGTGGGCACTCCGGGTGGAGCTGAAGTCTTACATTCATCTCAGTGGCGAAGCGGCGTACCGCGGGCGTCGCCAATACTTTGTCGACGAAAACAGCTGACTTCCCTGATTCAATCGGAGTGACTGCTGGGGACGGTTGACTCTTCCTTACGGGCTCTTCTTCAGCTAGCGTTTCCGTCTCGAGCGTCGGTCGGGAATCCACCGCGGCATCAGAAGCTGGGGAACCATGAAGAATTTCGAGCTCGCTATGGTACGAGGTACATAGGTTTATCCCCCCAAGAACGTTCGCCCCACTCACCGACTTCGATCTCGACCAAGGCAGCTCCGACCTTGCACACTTGCTCCACTTCATAATTGAGTTTTTTGATTACTCCATCGTACCGCGAAGTTATAGTCACCGACGCTTTATCCGATTGCACCTGGATAGGGGATGTGACGACGGTAGAGTTGCATTCCCCGCGAACGATGTTTCGAATGATGAGTGAGTTGAATCGAGGAAGTTTGATAGAGGAAGTGAGAATACTTACCTCACAAATAGGGTCGAACTGATTTACTTTCGAGCCAAGGCCGACGTACCATTCCTTTATAACAACTTCGGAGATGCCTTCTCCGATATCCGATAATCTGAAGTCGATCGCTCTTCCGGCTCTGTGGACTATTCGAGGGTTCTGCTTACTACTAGCAAGCGGTAGACAAGGATCAACAGCACAGATTCCCGAGTTGTGGAGAGAATGAGCCCGAGGACAGAAAAGAAGTTACTGGGGCAAGGAGGAGCTCCGGGAATTGCGAAAACTCGCTCCGCTCGGACTCCGGAGAGCCTCGGCGTGATCGGGGTGAGTTTCGGCGACCGTCGCAGGGGATAATACGAACCCGATGATGTATGTATGCCCTTGACCAAATATCTCGGACAAGTGGACGATGATAGCAAACGTGACGGTCCTCGCGGGAGGGGAGCCACCTGTAAGGTGAGACAGCTCCGCAGGCCCCGGACTCGACAAATGATAGGAAAAAGCTTCTTCACGATGCTCAACTGCGCCGAGAAGCGCAGCGATGAATCCGAGCCGGTAATGCTACCGCTTATCTTCTCGCTTCGGGATCTCTGCCGTTTTTCAGAGCTCTAGCTCTACTTCATAGGGTAAGAGGCAAGAAGTACTGTGTATTCTCTAATCGATCGAAGAAATTATCCACCGATATCCATCGCGACGGAACGGAGGGACATGGGATGAAACCGTGGAAAATAGACCGCGCTTGGTAGAGATAATATCTGCTCCACGCTTTCGTGAAAACGTTGTCACAGAGAACCATTGATATGAGAGCCGCCGTGGAGTCGTTACAGATGGCGATTGTCGGAAGGATAAAATCTTGGCAGACCGCAAGGACACTCATGAAGAGTATGCGTCAAATGAGAGCGGCGAAATCGATTCCGATTCCGATGATCCTTCATGGCAACGGTTAGTCGCAAGAGATTACGGGGTGATCAACAGCGAGTCGGGAAACTTTGAACCTACCTTCTGTTTTCTACTCAGCGAAAGCCCACACCGCAAAGTTGCCGAAGATCTCTGCACCGCTCTCTGCATCTCGGGAGCAACGATATCGACCCGACTCGGGAATCTACGTCTCTCAGCGAAAATCAGCCCCTTCAAGGAGTCCTACGTTGCGCGGTTCGAATTCTACGGAGGAAGCTGATTCTCAGTTGACAGATCGCGCCTGCTACATAAATTGTCCTGGAGGCTGGAAAAAGTCTCCCGCTCAGACGTCGCACGAACCTCTTACTGCTAAAACAATGCACTCCATCCAGGTATCGGTCTTCCGAGTCTTCAGCTGGTTGCACGATTCGAATGATTCCAATGGATGCGACGAGAACGTCTATTCCTCCTCTCCCAGGAAGCTCGAGATAAACATGAACCGGCGCGCCTTTTCGAAGCTCGCGCTTGCCCCTCGCAATCAGGGACATCCTGCCGGCTCATAGAGCGAAAAGAAGGCGGAACATTCCGAGGGGCGATTTAAGGTCACAGTGGGAGAATTTCTGAGATCGGATTTCATGACTATGATCATGATCGGACTAAACATTGACTCGACAAAACTCGGAGTCAATTCGAAGATCGAGCTCACGATTTTCTGCGAGCGTCAATTCCGGGAATCTCCGGAATCCCAGGCTTCTTCTTTTCATTGAGTAGAGCGAAAGGTCTCAGATGAATGAGTCCACTTGAGCATGGCTTCCTCAGGCTCCAGTAGCCCCATGGGCCGAATACGAACCCAAGTAGCGTCGAAATCTGACTAGGCTCTACAGAATCGATTCGGGCGAGATCAGATTCGATGAGAGCAGACTGGAGCGCCTATGTAGACGAATCCGATAACTCAGAAAGCTTTCCTCTGGAATACGATATGCTATTCTGATTTTCGTTCCGGGTATGTTGTTGCGCGATGCTCCGTTCCGGGAACCGTCCGCTGATGAAAAGATTCTCGTAGCACAGGGTAAGGAGAGAACTCATCGGGCTCCTTGTCAAAGGGAGTTTGTTCCCTTGGGACCCGTTGGGGACGATGCTGAGTAAGTATCGTCCCCGGGGAGTCCGTCGGCTGTTATAGAGGGTAGAGATTGATACAGGAAAGTTTTCAGGAGTCATTATTCCCAATGAATATAAACTTACGAGGTCCGAGAGGCACGCCCGTCTCCACGCGTGCTAAAAGCGGCTCCTCGAACTCGATCCCTCCGAGAGGCGCTCCCGCGGCTGCGATTCCGGAGGATGCGATTGTGTACCGAGCGTATTCGTTCTCGAGTGCCTTCCGCCGGTTCACATCTCGCGGGCGGCTGTCGACCGTTCGTACGGATTGAAAATATCCATTCGGGATTACTTGATCAGAGGTTCCCTCGAATTATCCGAAGTATCCGTTCGTATCAATCCACTGCAGGCTTGCTCAAGGGTTCGAGGTGCCCAGAGCGGACGGGCGTCTCGACGCCCCTCGACGATTTCATCCAAGATTCGACTCTTGGAAGTCGAAACAGAAAAAGAAGGTGCGCTGAGAAGTGAATCGTGAGTCATGAGGCGTCAGAACAATCAAGATAAGCGTCGGAGGGAGCCTGGAAGCCCCTTCATCGGCACTCCCCGAGCTTGCGGAGCCGGCGCCTACCACCGAGAGGCCGACGCGAAGCCCGGAGCGGATGCATCTCCCGCCGTCAACCGTTCAGCCGACAGTACTGATTACGTTCTGCTGGAGAGATGCGTGGAGACGGTTCGCAGACGCATCACTCTCGCCGCGGAAGAGCTAGTATTTCGTGTCGGCTCTCACACTAAGAAATCCGAGTTCTTCGGCTCCGAGGAGTCAGAATGAACGCCGGCCACAGCCGATGGGAGCAGTGTGATGTTGATGAGCTCTCGCTATCACTTCGCAGTTTCCGTCCTGTTCCTTCGGATACCAAACTCTCACCACTCGATCTCCGGAGGCCGAGAATCCGTAGAGGCCAACTGCCACACCCCAACCCCTCCGTGGAGCCAAGAATTCATCATGCTGCGTATTTGTGGTTGGGGAGTTCGGTCTTCGTCTCCACTGAGCAACTCCGAAGAACCCGACCGGTTTCCTTAGTTTCACGAATTCTCACTCCGTCCACCTTTAGGATGCAGTCAGCTAATAGGAGGGCTCTATTAGACATTATATGGCCGGCTACAATGTTGGGCGAACCCATCTCGCCCGGGTATACGTGGGTTTCCGGCTCCCCGAAGTATTGCATGAAGCTCGATCGCGCTTCAAGTTATCCATCGATAGGAAGACATGACCTGGATAGCTTGCCAAAAGGTCGATACCCACATGAGTATCCGATACAGGGTCCGGATTCTGAACACCGCATGCCTCCCGAGCTTGCGCCAACTCAGAGCTCGCGACTATCCGAAGTCGCCTGCCATTCCCTCTTCCAGGTCGTGCGGGTAGAGCAGGCGAATTCGTCGCAATCCCCCATCCATCACTCGCAGAACTCTGGCGATTAGAACTCGAAACGGAGAACCTCCGCTGTTTCATGCGGCGAACCCTGTTCTGCCGTAACTCTCGAGCCCCGAGAAGAAACCCGCAAACTTTCGTACACGAGAATCTCTAGGCATTGGAAACCACATCGGGCGCGATGCTCCAGTCTGCGTCGGAGAGATTTTTCAGAGAAGGAAAGCGAATTTCCCAGTGATATACCTGGTGTGGATAGGAGGCCAAGTTCCCAGGGATCCTCGATCCGCGCTGGAAATTCGACAGGATCCCAGCCTCCACGGATAGCGCTGAGAGACCGGAGCGCGGGTGCGAAGCTTGTTAGAAGGGTCATTCTCGTTCGCTCGGATGAGGCATCGGCCTATCTGGACAAGAGCCTGAAATCGAGTAGAATTCGACCACCTACAACGAGGAGACTTCCCCCGCCTAATTCTCAACCCAAAGAGCAGGACAAAAATGAAGTTGCATCCCGATTGCTTCATTCTCTGTTCCCTGCGATCGGCGAAAGCATTTCCCCGCCATCCAAGAGGCCTATCTACGAACCATCCAAGTCGATCCAGAAACGGGAGAAATCGAGACGAGAAACTTCTGTCCCTCGAGATCAAAGTTCACCGAGCTGAGTCGCAAACAGAGGGTTCCCGTGGGGCTCAGAGGCGCTTGGCGTCAGTAGGATATGAGCTCCCATGGCCTTTATCGTAAGGAGAAGTTGACTGTGAATCAAAGAACGAACGATTGATCTCATTCTCGGCATTTCTTCCCCGGAACAAAAAATCTCGCGCGTTCGGAACAAAAGCGTCATCGGAATGAATTTCTCCGACAATGAGAAGATTCACGGAGACAGATCAGGCACCTCGAGATCTGCTCCTCGGAATATGGAATTCTAGACATTGAATTTTCAAGTTTCGCATAGCCCGGAGACGCGTGCGGGACTTCGACTGCGGGAGGTTCGGGGAGCGGCTCCAGAAGCTTCTTGACGGCTGCCGAAAATTTTCAGGCTTGGACTCTCACGACAGCGATTTGTTGTTCCACAGAAATGCGCAAGTTCCCTCCAGTTAACGAAAATATCCTCCCCGAAAGAGCCATGGGATGAACTTATCGTCGAAAGGTTGATTCCGAGGTCACTTCGGACTGCTCGGTGTACGGGAATTTTCAAGATAATAATCGTCGCAGTTCGCGTTGTTTGTTCCAGTGCGTCACTCACCACCGCAGCTGCCGAAGACGTTCAGAAACAAAACTCCATCCGTCCGGCGGTGTGAGGAGCTCGCTCGATTGGGGACACGACACTCGAGTTTCCAAGCTTCAAGTTCGCAGCTAGCCGGAAAGAGAAAATGAGACGACGAGTTTTCCGCAGCGTCGAAAAAACTTCAAACGACCGACTTGAGCTGACTGACTCAGAATGAATGACTGACTGACTCCTCGGCTCTATGAGTGTTTCCAATTGCAAGCTGCGCGAAGACGAACATGTCGAGCGTTACTTGACAGTTACTTGTTTAAAGTGGAGGCGATGACAAACGTCGCTCCTACCCCCGCGGAAAATGTTGCGAACACCAGCGCCGCTTTGTTTCGAGTCAAGCGAGCGAGCCAGAAACCCCATCCTCTAAGGACGAATGAAGAATGCTGTGACTCGTCGTCACCCATAAACCGCGAGATAATGAGAGGAGAAACGGGAAGAGACGGGGAACGAAGAACATGTGACTGCTCGAGAAAAAGCTTTTTGTTTCATTTCTACTCACAGCGGCGAATTTCCGCACTGTTGCCAAGCGTTCCTATCATTAGAAAGGCAAATGAATGGACGGACGCAGGACTCGTTTCCTGCTGACTCGATCGAAACCGACCGAGACAAATGGAGCGACGTCAATCGGGAACCCAGATTTCAACGTCGTCGTTGCCCCCGACAAAGCCGCGTGGATATTGTGCAAATCAATTGGAAAACAGATCCGAAAAGACGGGTCCTTCATACGAAATACACAGAGATCCGCGGGACCTCGCACTCGATGCCCATCTGGTAGGTGGGTCCGGAACGGGGACGACCCCGTGGGCGATAAAAAGGTCCGCGCGTCTTTCCGCGTCAGATAAGGGAGCACCGCAACGCCCAAACCCCCTCCCCCCTCCTCTTGGGGCCAGTCGATCGGTCGACCCCCCCCCCCGCCCCCTGCTGCCCGACCAGCAGACGAGCGAGTTCGCTTCGTAGGAGCGGCTACCGGAGTCTACGTATTACATGTTCCCGAACGAGAGACTGGCAAGCTAAGCAAGCCGACCGGCGACGGTCGGCGAGACTTCCTCTGGCAAGAAGGGGGAGATCGCCCGTGAGAGCGGACGCTTCCCGCAAGGCAAAGAAGGCGAGTCAAGAAAAGCAAGCCGGTCCTTCCGGCTCACTTCACGGATTCTCACCCCCTCGCGCACAGGCGATCCCTTATCGCCGCCCCTCCGGCAGTTCTTTGTCTTGTCGTCGCGGCGGACGGCGACCGACGTGCGGTTCAATGATGCTGAAGACGCGTTGCCCGCAGCGCGTACACAGGCGAAGTAACTCATTCCAGCCGCATTGCTCTTTAGTTTCCCCGTCTCGCTATCTATCTATCAGCTCCTGCTGCCACCGTTTTCGAAGGACAACCGAGTCCTAATGACTTCCGACACCAAGACGAGCGGCGTTGAGGAAACTTGCGACGGGGTAATGACATCCCTTTCCGCCCCTTCCCGGAACACAGGATAGACGAACGAGGGCCGGGAGCAAAGAAGACCCGAGCTCGAGCATGGAAGGGTCCCCCACCGCTACAGCTTAGACTCATGCGGAAGAACGAAAGGGACCGATGAAAGGGAACTCGTTGTACAGGCAGGTGGATTCGGTGGCTTACGTCGGATGAGCTGCTACGATTTAGGTACTTCGAATTTTCATCATCC